TCACTGGTTTGCAGCTTGCTGTAGGATCTCATGGTGTTTTGGCATCAGTGACCACAAGGAACTAGATACCAAGTGCAGTCACAGATAAGAGTCATCAGACCCTTACCAAGAGGGCCTGGCTATTCACTCCATAAGAGCTTCCCTCTTCAGCCTGGGGTTGTGGCAGGGTCCAGGTTCTTTCCACACCATCTCAGCAGAGGGAGGATGTTCCTCATTTGCCCATGAAGTCAGTCAGCACTGCCCCTTTTGCATTTTCTCAGCAAACAGTAGTCCTGGGCTGCTGCCTTGAGTTCACAGCCTGTGTTCTTCTGGAGGACAAGCCTGTGTCCAAGGCACACAGCAAGGCTCTCTAAGCCCTGGAGGGAGACCTACACCCCAGCTCCCTGCCAGCAATGGTGGAGTGCTTTCCAGCTTGGAGTTCTCTGGTGTCGGGGAATAGACCTGTGCTTGAGACTCTAGTAAGTCACCTCAGCTCCTTCTCAGAACTTGGGGGTCAATGGTAGGCATACAAGTTAGATGTGCTTTTGCAGTTGGGTAAGTAGGGGACTGGTGGGAACATGGAGGACAGGAGAGGAATATTGTCACCCCCCTAGGATAAAGGAGTATAAGAAGAGCAATGAGTGCTTGGGAGCCTGTAGACCCTGCCAAGGTGAGGTGATGCTTCTGCTGCATGAGGAGTCCGAGGGAGGAGAGCAGCTAAAGGGCAGGGCTCTCCCCATCATGCCATTTGGTGACAACAAAGCAGAACAAAGACTGAAGTACCCCTACAGCATGGTCTTTGGCTTGCCCTGAAGATCAATATCCTTGGTAGCTTTGGAAAGTGCCTCTCAACTAACCTTCAAGACAATCTAGGAGGGGACATTGTCCCCATCTATGACAGGGCCTGTAGGGATATAAGGCCTTCACCATCCGTGGGGCTCCAAATGGTACCTGGACTATGGTACAGGTACCAGGCTGCACTATTCACTCTCCACAATGGCATAGTGTTCTGAGCTCCTTGGCCTGGCTCTCCTTTTGCCCTCGACCCTTGCCTTCCAGCCCAGCCACTGCTCAGAGTTCGGGACAACCAGAGGAGCCACTGTGTATAGCCTGTCAGGGCCTGACACCTGTCAGCTCTGTGGATTCCATGGAGACTGGGGGTATGGCTCTGTGGGTGGTTTGGAGTTTCAGACCTCAGGAGTACCCTTGAAAGATTGTTACCAGAGAAAACAAGGCAGCCCAAGTGCCTGTGATTCTCTCCTGCTGCCCACTCATGTGGCACCTTGCCCTCTGCAGTTCTGCCATCAACAGTTTCTCCTCAAGGAACCAGCAGCCCATAAGAAATTGGTACAGCTCTCTAGGGCAGCGACATCGTGGTACCTTTGTGTTTTACTGTGCAGTGGGGATGGACTGGTCTAAGCATGACAAGAGAGTACTAATAGACGATACAACACCGGGCTCACACACACACACAGCTTAGGGTAACGGAACCAGACTCTTGGGAACAACATCCTTGCAAATAGGCAGGCAACATTTACAGGAATCAGAAAAAGGCTGCATGCAGAAATTGGGCAATCCCTTCACACACTGAATGAACTGGGATGAGGAAGTTTTGGCTTGACAAATATAGAGGAGTTGCAAAGTCCAGCCTTGAACTGACCAGGTATGAGACCTTGAGCTAGCACCTCATAACCTCACCATGCCTTAGTCTTCCTGGCCACATGGTGTGTTTATGCCTGGAACACTGATCCCCAGCACTAGCTGGTGCAATCAGTGCCATTGGAGCAGTCAGTGACTGCCAGCCTGACCATGAGACAACTATTCTGAAAATGCTCTAGAGCTTGAAGTGCAAGGCAATTCTAGGCCTGCAAGGCTTCTTGGTCTTGGTGCTTTCAACAGTGCCAACCTTGGCAGGCATCTGATGAGTGGCCTTGCTTTCTGTTCCCAGACTCCTGGATAGAAGCAGGTTGCAAGGAACTGTAATTGGCAACTTATCACATGTTTAGAACCCAGCAGGTGATGCTTACAAGTGTCAGACAATGGCATTGGTGGCCACAGCAGTGGTTGGCTGCTTAGACCACAGAGGCAGAGGTCTTTATGCTCTATGAACACTGGGCCAGGCTGGTCACACTCCTGAGGACAGGTGCAGGTGTACTGTCCCTGCTCTTGCAAATGGAGCATCTGTGAGACACCTAGGCTGACAGTCTATAAAGAACTCCATAGAAAGCAGAGTGGGTAGTCAGCACAGCCCATGGGCACATCTGTGCTCAGAGTAAGTCAACAGGGAATGGGGCTTACCCATGTCACAGAATGCGCCAGCTGGACACCCAGAAGGATATCATGACCTTGGTTCCCCACTGAGCACCTGGGGCACCCCTGAGGAAGACACAGTTGCAATGACGTCCAGAGAGGCCAGTTTAGTAGGAACCCTTCCCACTTAAGCCCAGGAAGGAAGCAAGCAGTGGAGCTGCTTGGTTCATCCACAAAGGTGTCACTGCAAAGCCAGGGACTTTATAAAATTGTGTCAGGGTGGCTGAGGAAGAGCTGTGAAGCATGAAGCTGAATCCTTATTCAGAGGTAGAGGCAGGATAATCAGGAGCTAAGAAGTTCAAGATCAGTGTGGGCTACAAGTGACACTGTCAAAGACCAAAGAAACAAAAAGGAAAGTGCCATATTAGTCAGTGAGGAACCTGTTCAATCTTTGGTGGGTCACGGTGTGAAGAGTTTCAGCTCTGACTGCAAACAACACAGGGATTCTCAAGTTACAGAACAGGTGAGGCAGTCTGTAGCATTACTGTGCACACATGGACACACACACTTGGAGACGGATCTACAGGAACATGTATAATCACGGTGAGTTTTCCTTTGTACTTCTTCAAATAGACACCAGCTGTTTGTTTATTGTTGTTGTGTATACATGTATGGGCTTATGTCATGTCAGTAGCCATGGCAGAGGAGCAGCAGGTGGCAGTTGACTTCAGGGAGGCCAGCCCACCAGGAAGCAAAGCTCTGATGAGTGAATCTCAGATAGGCAAGGCCCTGAGGGCTTCAGCCCCCAGAATGTTTCTTGCTACTGTTGTGCCTTTACATGTTTGCTGCTGCCATTTTTCTGTGGTATCTGGCATGGTGTGAATAGGCATGGGGAGTTCTCTACTGCTTTAATGTAGTGTGATTATCTCATGGAAATATCCTGTTCTACTGGGCATTTTTACCTGTAGAGTATGTGAAGATGACTTCCTCCTAAGCTGTACTGTTTAACTGATACATGATTTTATACAATAATACTGTTAGTTTAAATAGGATTCTTATGACTGAGGGTCTTTAATAAATACAGTAAGGGATTATGATAGAGGTTAGCTTGGTGGGAAAACTAATATAGGTAAAAGCAAGATATAATGTTGCACCCCACCCAAAAAGCAGAAGCTGCAGAGGATAGAAAATTAGAACAAGGAAATGTCATACAGCTAGTTTCTCTTGAGGGAGCCATATAAACTGTGGCTTAGGCTAATTATTAAGAAAAAGAATTGAGTTCCAGGCGCCTGGCTAGCTCAAGTTCTTTAATCTTAATGTTGGGAGAGATATTCACAGGTTTAGGTGTGCATCATAGGTACAATAAAGCTTTAAATATGACTTAAGGTTAGGTTAAGATGTTTTTTTAATAGCTTTGCAGAAAAAAAAACAAGAAACAATCTAAAGTCTAGAAAGGCACACAGTTGAGTGAAGGATTCATTGAGGTCAGGGAACAAGAACAATGACAGCTTGGCTTTGTTAGTTGATGTACTTTTCTTGCTAGAATGGGTTGGTGATCAAGGGTGGTGCTTAATTCCTTGTGCCCATTTCTGCCCTCAGCTTCCTGATTAAAAAAAAACAAAAACAAAAAAACAAAAACAAAAACAAAAAACTGTTGGTGAGAGTTCATTCACCCTAAAGATTTTAAAGTAGAGCTGATTGACTGTTTTTCATATATAAAAGTTTAGGTTTGTGATTCTTTTGGGATTCCTTATAAGATTACCTTTTGAGATAAGTAATTTAGTGATTGACCCTTTCTTTGTAACTGCAAAATGCAGCCTGCCAGTAAAAGAACTGGCTGAGAAAAATATCTTGCTTGCTTACACTCTGTTAATCTCTAACAAGTTGCTTAGATATGAATGTATGTGGGTTTTTGGGATAATTTGTTTTTCATCTATAGTTTGTAGGATGTTCAATTATGTAAGGGAAATGGGAAACACATTTTTTTTTACTTGTATTCATTATAATCATTACTTGAAAATTAGAATGTAACCATACTGTAATTTTTATATTGCCTGAAAGATTTTGTTGGGACATGTAAGCTGCAAAGGAAAAACAAAGAGAAAACAGAGATAAAAGATGACAGAAAGACCCAACAAGAGTGTATGTGCTTTTTCCCTTTTTTTTTTTTTTTTTTTTTTTTTTTTTTTTTGGCCCCCAGAGAACAGCCCCAGAGAGCTACATTTCACTCCCTCAGATAGAAAAGACAGCTCCATAGTTGTCCTTCAGTCCCTGAGCTGCTAGAGGCTCTTCCTCACTGCAGTGTTATGTATCATTGTGTATACATACATATGTGTGTGAGTCCAGTACATGGCACACATTCAAATGTCAGAGGACAATTTTGTAGGATCATTCTCTCTTTCCACCTTCCAGTGGATTCTGATGAGGTTTACACAGTAAACACCTTTTCCCATAGAGCCATCCTGCTGACTTCTGTGCACAATGAACACCATTCACATTAACATGTGAAGACTATTTTTTTCCTCTCAGAATAAAACACAATGAGGAAGACTTGTCTAACAGGGAGTGAAAGGGCCACCCCCACATGTTGGGGTGGTGGGCCAGCTGGCTGCCCAGCAGGCCCCTACCTGCTTTCTTTCCCAGCTCTGGTGAGTTGCTCTAGGAGGATAACTGCCCTCAGAAGAAGGGTTTCTGACTTTCTCTTGTTCTTCTCAGTTAAGAAGAGGCTGCTTCTTCACTTAAAAAAATTGTTATGATAAACAAAAACAACAAACATTTTTGAATTTTTTTATTTGGTGTTAACTCCACAAGAAAACAAAACAAAACAAAACAAAAAAAATCAGTTACTCTGGTGTACGTGAAATCAGAACAATACAACCACGGAAAAAAATCTCAGCCCAGGAATGGAGCTGATACTTCAGTGCTACGGATATGCAACGCGCTTCATACCACAGTGCGTTTCAGCGTTTGCCAACTTTTTTTTTAATGCTTTTTTTGTGATCATCCATTCACGAAATTAAAAACCACACTTCAATTCTGCGCCAAAGCCTCTGAGCTTCAGCCATTTAACTACAAAAAGAAACCAAATACAGAATCTATTTATCCCTTTGCCTTTTATGACCACCGCATCCCCTGTGGGGGGCCTCTCCCCACAGCTGAGGAGGTAGGTGTCTTTGCTACCTGGAGCCCTTTCCTGACAAACATTGGCTGTCCAGGTCATCCAAGTTCACGGTATGAAATCCATTTGGTCAGAGCAACAATTTCTAGGGTAATTATGACTGCATTGATTTTGGGAATTTACAACTTTCAATTCTTTTTACCTTTGATGATAGGCTATATTTCAGTGCAGATGTTAATCAAATTTTAGGAAGCTCCAGAAGAAAGAAATACATAAAACTTATCTGATGTCTGTAAATAAATAAGAGCAACATGAAACCTTCCACATGCACACACGCACACACAAGTCACTATAAAGTGTCAGAAGATGTGCTGTATGAAAACAAACCCTAAGGTGGCAAGATGCCCCCAGCCAGCAAGCCAGGCTCCCCATGGTGAGGATGCACAGAAGTGCGGTGACTGCACAGCCTCCATGGCATTTCCTGTGTTCCTGAGAAACAGGCAACAAACTCAAGTACTACCAGCAAGGCCTCAGGGACAGCCACACATGTGGCCAGTAATGCCCCACTTACTGGTGAGGCCAGCTTGGCTACTTCAGACCTCTCAGCCATTCCTGATATTCTGGACATGCTCAACTCATGTCACAGACGAGGTGTTTTTAAAAACAAGTTGGTTAAAAGAGAAAAATAATTTTGGATGTTTAGGCTTTGCACAATTGGCCCTCTTAGTGTCTGTGGCAGTGCTGCAAGAGAGAGCTCAAAGAGGTGATGAGTGCCCTTAGCTGCATCTTTGAGAGGTGTGCCTTCTGCCTGCTTCACCAAGTCACATGAGGCGATAATCAGAACAGCAATCACACAGGTATGTGGGAAATTCCTCTACCCACCCCAGCCCACCACAAGCAGAACTTGCCCAGAACATTCTCTCAAACACAAAATGAGATACAAGCTATACTACATCACAGCCACAAGAGCAGCTAGCTGCAGCAGCCAAAGATTTCTTTGGGGTGATGAGGTGGCCTCACTGCATGTCAAATGTTTTTAAGTTCATTTGGAGACTTCAGTTCAATGTAGTCACCAGAAAATAATTTGCAGGTAAGGTACTCAACTATGTGCTGGAGAGGCAGCTCAGAGAACCCCACTGCATCCACTGAACTTACCCCATCCACCCCATGCCTCAAATCCTTGGCTTCTTCAGCTAGCAAGAAAGTCACAAGCCACAGTATCTTCCATGGTACTTTAGGGGAATCCTAAGAGAGAGCACAGTATTCTGTAAGTCTCTAAAGCACACCCTTGTGTTCCTACAGCAATGTCCATGAGATCTTCTGAATGAGCCTGCAGATGAGTCACCATGCTTCCCTCCTCCTTCAGCAAGGCCCTGACCCACTGCAGGGGAGGACTGATCTCCTGGCTCAGAGAACAGAGCTAGAGTCTCTGGACGGTGGCGGTTGTAGCCACAGTGCTGACAAGGTGATGGCGACACTGCCGCCAGAGGAAGGCCTGCAGCTGCGATGCAGAAGCGGGACGCGCTAGGACAAGCACATGCACACCCATTCCTCACTGGACAGCACAGTCTAGTCTACTTCAGAGAGCAAGAACTTAACAGCTTGGAAACAAATCTTCAACAGGACAGCCGTCCTCAACGCTAAAATAAGCAAGAAGAGAAAGGTAATCACTGATGCGGATCAGTTAATTGAAGAAGAAACCTAAGTTGCTGATTTAGACTAACAGCCTCACAGAAGGCAATTTCCCATCACAGCATTTTCAATGACTGGTACTACTCTGCAGGGTCAGAGATGTGTTCGGGAGAAGAGCTCCTCTGTGTTGGGGCCCACCCACTCTCCGCCGGCTTCGGAGCCTGTGTCACCCGTGTCAGAGCTGGCGCTGGAACACATCTTCCTGTGGAGGCCATTTGGTTTTGCCTCAGAACCTCTCTCTCCTGTACATCTTGCTTCATAAACAGAAGACACCTACAATTCAAGAAACAATTTTCAATACACCAAAAATCAGATGTACACACACCCCTTCCGCCCCAAGGGCTGATTCTATTTATAGACAGATGAAGTAGCAATCACTGATGTGTCCTATGGAGAGTAACGAAGATGTAAAGTAACACTGTTTTAGAGAAATCCTCTTCTCCCTTGTCCTTGAAGGGTCAATTCTAATTCTGCATGTCGAGTCACAGGAATACTGTGGCCATATTAGGGTAGGACAAAGGGACTCCTTAAGTCTCAACAAGTCTTTGAGTACCTGATTCAGGATTGCCCGTGAGGCTTTACATAGGCTACCCTGGAAAGAGACATGGTCATGCCCACGGGGCTCACAGTTCCAGCAGACAAGAAAACCAAAGGACATAGCTTCAGATTGTAGATAACTGGTAAGGGGCACTCTGGACAGGAGCAGAGTGCTCCAGAAGGTGGCACTCCTGAGCAAAGGCTGGTATTCTGCACTGCAGTGTTAGCACTACCTAGCATGGTGTAGAGATCTCTTTGTTGTGTTCACAGGAAGGCTGGCATCTGGGGACCCTAGGATACCAAATGCCAATGGTAACCCTTTCACCAGTTACAGCAACTAGCAACACTTCTCAGCCCATCACAACATCCACCTCCAGCACCACCCCATCACAGTCCCTGCATTTAAGCCAGAGGCAGAAGCACAGAAAAGCCATGTGAGAGCAAAACAAATAAGGCTTCCAGGCATGAAGGAGTCTAGATTTCTTCCAACTGCACAGAGTAGGAGCATGGATCCTGCAGCTAGACTGTAGAGGTAGGTAGCCCATGTCTGGTTCCATCTCCAGATGCCTTCATTTTCCACTGTGCAAATGGGTATGCCAAGAATACTTAGTGCACAGGGTTGTTGTGAAGTGGTTGTCTTGCTGAATGGAGGTGATAACCAAGGACAAGCAGAAGCAAGGACAAGAAAGGCTGTGGCTGTTGTTGAGGAGCGGTAGTGGTCTGAACCATGTGGAAAGGATGGTGTGGAGGAGAGAGGTGAATGGAAAGTGAAGGTGAGGTGCATTAACAGGCTGTAGACACACTGTGTGTAGAGGTGAGAGGAAGAGACAAATGGAGAGACAGGTGGTGAGGTAGCCATTCCTGAGGGTGGAAGACTATGGGGAGGCCTTCCATGTGAGCTGGGAAACATTAACAACCTGATAGATCAGCAGGTGCTTTGGAGAATTCTTACAGAGCTTGAGCTAACACTGACAACTATGAGGAGAAAAATAGTTTTCTTTGATTCACTGGTTAACCTGCCTAACAGCAGAAGGCCTGAGACTGAGCAAAAAGTAGGTCAAGGTCTTGACTGTACCTTCATGGTGCTCACAGGCTTGTGGAGCAGTGGGGCTCCACCCAGAGAGTGCACAAGAGCACAGGAAGGGCAAGGTCTGTTCCACACAGGTTGGAAAAGCACACGGGAAGAAGGAAGATGCTGCCCCAGGACTGAACAAGGAGCAACATGCTTAGCACATCATTAAACCCCCGCCCCCCTGTACCATCAGCATAGGGAAAGCTGGAGGGACATTAGGGGCTCTTCATGAAGGTCGGGCAAATGGTCAGAGGTGAGGAGTGGGGTTGAGGCAGACCCAAACTAAGGGCCAAGAAGAGAAAGGCAACACCCAAGGATCTGGGGAATGAGGGCCAGGGTGGGTCACAGGACTTCCAAGTTTGTGACTAGAGTGGTAGGGAGGAGGACAGTCCACTTACCCTATTAAAATCTAACAGACGCTCTTCACGACTGGGTGTCTCTTTAGCATCTGGATATTCTTCTATACCATTCTCTCCCTTGGCATTTGTATAACATTCTTAATCATTTTGAATGGAGAAGGGAAAAGAGGGAAAGGGGGAAATTCAATTAAGACAGTTATGAAACACACATCCTTGTTTAACCTCACTGAGAAGCTAGGCCTCCCCACCCTCTGGAGGTTGAAGTTGTCACCGAAAGCACAATCAAGCAGGAGTATACAAAAAAACACGATGCCAACTGAAAACTTTCAGCCAGAATAATAATAAAAACCATCTAGCATAAGCATATTCTACTGCAAAACATTCTTTACTGCAAAACAATTCAACAAATATATTCACAGACCTATGATGTGATGGTCCTGGGAACACAGGGAAAAAGACTAGTGAGGCCTGCACTCTCAAGAATGAATGTCAAGAGAAGGGAGACAGATGATGTACCACAGATATGCTCATGGAACAGGAACAAAGGTTCCAGACAGGGGCAGCCCAATGAGAAAGCAAAGCATAAAGAGCTGGTCTGTTATAGCTCAACATCACACTCACCACAGTCTGTAACACTTATGCACTGGGGAAAGGAGGCTCATGGTCCAATTGGCCAAGGCCCACAGGATATGAAGGCAATACAGACCAAGTTAGAGGAATCCAATCCACCAACAGGTCCAACTTGCTTCACCCATGATGTATACTACTCAGCCACCTGGGGAACTTGGAGAAACCTAGGCCCCAGGAGACTAACCATCAGTCCTTCTGAGAAGCTTCCAGGTGATTCCTGAGCACAGACCCTGTGCTGCTGAACCTAGTCTTAGTCTAGCCTAGCCTCTTGTCCACCAACCCCATGAAGAAGTCAACTGTGATGGAGTTACAGAGTAGGATGGAGACTCCAACCAGGCTAGTTTGGACCTGGCTCTGACAAGATCTCAGGAACAATGATCCCTTAGCATCCATGATCATTGGGTTACACCATAGGTGGCAATGGGATGTTATGGCTACTGTGGGCCCAGAGCTACAGAGGACAAGGCCAGCCTTAATTAGTGTTACACTCCTGGGCACCAAGTGCAGACTTTTCTTGCCATTTGAGTATTCTCCATAACCTACCAGCCCTGAGCATTACTTGAATAACCCTGGCTTTGAGTGACAAAAGTCAGAGTAGATGCCAGGTTCTGCTCTTTATTTATGACACGACTCTCAAAGTTACATGCCCCACCTCTATAAAACAGAAGCAACACCATCCTCTTAAAGGAGATGCTATGGTAGAAGTGGACAGGTACAACAATGTCTTTGATAGCCACTAACCCAGAACATGGGTTCTGAGAAGCTGCTGCACTATGATGGAGGGACCCTCATTTTATCCCATTTATTCTATATACATTCACACACTGGGCCCAGAAGAGGGACTGTGGCAGGGTAGGTGGCTCTTTTCTGACTCAGGAATACTACTGGATAGAAGCATGTCCATCTCTATCAACACCTTCATGCAGAATGTTGGCAAAGAACCATGCTCAACTCATCCCATGTTTCTTGTAATGCTCATAGTGACAGCTACTGTTTATTGAGTAATCATTGTGTGTGGGTTACAGTTATAGGCCCTTTGCCTGATGAAGAGGCATCTTTATTCCTAATAATCATCCCAACAGGGATGGCTTCCTTTCTCCCCAAGGATGCTCAGAGTTCTAGTTAGCCAGTATCCAGAACAGAACGGGTTCATTACTAACCATTTCTGATACTAGGTCCTTCAGGAATGCCTGGTCCTTTTAAAAGGTGAGTAGCTAGCTGTCTTCTTGTATAACTTCCATGTGAGGCTACAGACCCTGGGCATTTGAACAGAAAGAATACTTCATACTGTCACTGCAAGGAAGTATCATGGGAATCAAACTCACAGCTGTCATTCAAAAGACTGGCCACCATTCTTTCTCCACCAAGCTTCTTTATGTATCATTTACATACATACACAAAAGAATTACATACAGCATTCACTGGCACCAGCCAACAGAAATGAGTTGAAACTGGGTTCTTACTAATGGACAGAATGAACCAAGCTGAAAAAGTATGAACTCAGTGTGTTTAAAATCATCCTCAAAGGAAGTAGTTTCTTTGTTACACAGTGATATTCCTCTTCCTCTCCTTGCTCTTTACAGGGAGGGGCTTCTGGGGCACAGCTCTGGGGATTTCTGACTTGTACTATTAGCTGCACCTGCATCTTAAACTCACCTAGCTCACAGACTGGTCCCTCAGGAGACTGGGTCTACATTCCTATGGCCCTCACATTTTCCTTGCCAGACTAGAGCTGTCCTCACCACCCTTATCTCTAGAGTAGTGTTCTCAACCTTCCTAATGTTGTGACCTCTCCTTCAGTAGAGCTCCTCATGTTGTGGTGACCCTCAACCATAAAATTATTTCGTTGCTACTCCATAACTGTAATTTTGCTGCTGTTATGGATTGTAAACATCTGATATGTGACTCCAGTGGGGTCACAACCCATAGGTTGAGAACCATTGCTCTAGAGCCTCCCCTAACTCCCTCCTGTTGTTCATGCTTTGGTCTCAAGGCAGGTGTAACCACTACAAAATCTCTCCATCCTATTCCCATTACCTAACTCCCCAGCTACAATTTCATCTGTGGTGTTGCTACAAGTCTTCCAGCACATATCTGACCTGAACACCCTTCAAACTATAGTCCTCCATGGCCAGCCCTGAACGCACAGCAAGCTCAAGGCAGCAGCCAGGTTCCAATACCTCTATGCTCCTTCTTATCAGACTCTGGCTCGGCTCCAAACTAGCAGAGCCCAATGAGACCCTGGCCTTTCAATCTGTCTCACACTCTGAAGCCTTCTTTGCACAAAAATCGCCTGAGGACTTCCTTCTCTATGGTCATGGTGGCCATATGAATCTCATCAAAGGTTCAAACCATGTATGCTTCTAATGAACTTCCAAACCCTTCACCAGCCTATGGCTAGATTTAAGAGCAGGTTCAGTTTGGATTCATCTCTGTGTCCTCAGGGTGTAAAAGTGCTGGCCATAGAACTTCTTTGGTGTTTCCTGGACTATATCCACAGCCAAAGAACCTGTTGCTCTTGGTGAATTAGAAATTTGAACACACTGATGACACAGTCTCCTTACCTTCACACTCTGATGAGGGAAAAAGAGGAGAGTACAAGGCTTTTTCCCACCAGCTCTGCTTTTCTTGATCTCTTGTCACTTCTTGCACATCAGTGTTCAGTACAGGAAACTGTTTAGATGAAGCCAAACACAGAGCATGTTTATAACCCTTCAGGACAGTCAGAAAAATTAAGCATTACTGCAGGACTATGAATCTAGCAATTTTAGGTTGGTGAGTTACAAAGGGAAAAGGCCCATATGCTCACAATTATAAAGGAAGGCTTCTTAAGAAGTACTTCAAATCCAAGCAGAACAAAAATCTTGACAAATACCTCTTATAAGACCTAAAACAACAAATGGGAAATTGTTCTAGACTACTGAAGTGCAACAGGTGACAAAGCCTGAGCCTGAGGTGCTGTGGAGAAAAGGGTTCCATCATTCCCAAGTGGACTGTTTAAGGCTGCTCGGACCCTGCTTTCCCTCCTGGGCAGTAAAGATTGGCTACCAGCAGCTGTCACTGGTGACCAACAAGTCCTTGGAGTGGTCATGAACCTCAGAATCCCTCTTGTAGATAGATGTACCCTGGTGGTATGCTGGTGGTGGCTCCCTTCTTCACTGGGCCTGAGAGGCCTGCCACCAGCTCCCCAGGGAAAAGCTCTCCATCTTTGTATTTTCCCAAGTCTCCATGCTGTGCTCACACCAGAATACCTGTGAACTGTGTACAATCTTAAGACATCATGTATTCAAGTTCAAAACATGAACTGTTTTAGGCATTTTGTTGTGCTTTGAACTGTAAATTATTTTATGGGTCTAAAATTGCTTTATCTAGTAAGTTTTTTAAAATTACATGGTGAAATGGAAAATACATTTTAAAATTTATTTTCATTTAATATAACTTTTCAGAAATAGTTCTAAATTAGGAACTAAGGAAAATTATACCGTCTGCCCAGAGTAGTCAAGTAACTTTTCTTATTCCCCCTGTGGTTTATTCTAATACAAATGAGTACTGCTGAAGGGCTTGACAAGGCTGAGCTAAATGCAAATGAAGCCAGTGGTATACAAGAGCCACAGTAAAAGTGGGTACCAGCACCTGTTACCAATTTGCAGCACATGAAGGCCGTCTATATTCTGGGAGATAAACTTGATGCTGTTTAGGGCAGCAAGGGAGAGTGGCAGAATTATCTCTATCATCCCACTGCACTACTGAAGAGAGAAGAAACAACAGGTTGCTATCTGAGTTCCTGTCTGTGAGGTTAATTATCTTCTACTTCTCTTGTGAAATGGAAGAAACACAGAGTTAGTCAAGGTCAGGCCTGGTGAGGCAAACAGGTTTGACAGGGCAAGACACCACCAAGGAACTGGGGTACACACAAAGATATAGTCAGATTTGAGGGCACTGGAAGCTTAAGGACAAGACTGTTTTCTTAGTCATCTCTGCACCTCTAGGCAGAGCAGAAACTGGCTCCCAGGCTTAGTCTCTGATTCCAGAGCACATCAAGTCCTCTCTTCACCCTGTTGTGGCTCTTGCCAGTGTCTGCCATTATTTGAGGAGTCTTTTCTGAATCCTCCATTTGGGTGCCAATTCCTATGGCCAAGATTCACTTGTTCTCTTTTATGCTGCAGCAGCCATCTATATTCAACAAGCATGCACCATTTCATGACACCTTTCCACCCAATTATTCCCAGCTTTTGGGGAGCACAGCTAACACTACCAAGATTCTCTCCTATGAGGCCTGTTTAATGTTTTAACTCAACGAATGCAAAGAATACAGAGAGAGAGAAGCAGGAGGATCACAAACCCAAAGTAATCTCCTAGTTACACAGAATGAATTCAAAGCCAGCCTGGGATGAGGGTCGGGAATGGGAAACAACAGAAGAACAGATGACACTGGAAAAGGGCACAACAGAGCAGTACCACCCATAGGAGCTGCATCTGCCTACCTCCAAGTGCATACTCAAAAGGCAGCTCTGAGAGAAAGCCTGCCTGGCTTCTTTCTTAACATAGCAAGCTGCTTCCAGCACTCCCAATCCACCAGTCCAGTCCTCCATCTTCCTTCAAGTGTTGCTTACATCCTCACACAGCATTAACCTACCACGTTTGCTGTTAGCACCCAAGCCTGCAAGGAAAATCCACACAGGCTCTTGGCTAATGATTCCAGTGTCTGCAACAGTTCTGGGTAGAGGACACTTCATACATGCTCCATGAATGAATGGGACAATGGAAAGGGAGGGAAGGTACAAACTTCACCCAGAAAGACTGACCATAGATGTTCTTAGCAACTCTCAGTTCTTCAGAAGCTGTCAATCAAGAGAAGAGATAAAGACTCCATAGTTCACACTTCCACTATATAGTCTATTTCTGCTGAAAAGAAAGGTGTTGGGGTTTCCTTTCCTTAGGGTCCAGTACCCCTTTCCCACTGGTCATTCTTTATCACTGGGTCACAAATGGCAAAGAAAGCTTTCTGTGGACCTCTTTTTAGAGAGGCATAGTATAAACAAGAGAACCCCATGGGAGACTAGCAGGGCCTGCTCTATTCTCTGCTTCTGGAGGCGTAGAGCCAGGAGAGCGCTGCCTGACCCAGTGTGGGACAGGGTGAGTCTCTTTTTGAAACATAAACATTCCTAGCTACCAGGTGGGTAAATAAGTCTTCTGTGGACGTCTAGTAAGACAATACTAACAAAGTTGGTACAGGAAGGATGCGTGCCACAAGCCAGGATGACCCTGCTACCTCTCCAAACTCCAGACTCATGGACCTTCACAGTGTAATATTGCTGGGACAAAATGAGCTCATCTCCTGAAGGACTGGAAAGTCCTTGAAGATAGGGACTAAGAATCTGGCTTCTCTTCTATGTTCAAAGTTCTTCACATTAAGCAGGCATCAGAGTTCAGGAGGACACCCATGCCATATTTCTGTGCAAGAGACACATGAGGTGCAATTTCCCTCTGTGATAGTTTTTGCCTTCCATTACAACGGGATGAGCTGTTTTCAGTACTCATGGAACATACCTCTGCAGCCCAATTTCTCTATCTGACCTTCTGCTCACATGGCCAGCCTGCTTCCCAGGCTCTGCAACTACACATCCAGGTGTGTTCAAAACACCTGCAGTGTCCATAACCTGGGAGGATGCTGGTGAAGTTCCCACAGCCTCCAGGCCTCATTTCCACTGCTCCACCAACTACATCACCCACAACTGCACTGGCACAGATGTCCCAAAGATAAGAAACCAGTTAAGTAAACTGTGGTGAAACCACACAGTGGAACAGTACATAAGAAGAGCGGTTACACATAAGAGTAGTTACAATAAAGGCCATTTCAGTTAAAAGGAAAACATACCATGTGGAAAATACTCTTGGTGGAGTTTACCACAACTAGCACTAACAAGGGCCAGTGGTTAAGAGCCCCTTTCACTGTGTGCATGCCCTCCTTTAACTTTATATAAACAGCCCATTTCAGTTAAGATATGTGATTTTCAAACTGGGTTTCTTGCCTAGACTGAGCATCTCACAGACAAGGATGGCACCGTACTCATTAGGGCTCTTCCTTCCCTTAGTGACAGTCACTTAAAGGTATCCAAACCATGTCTGCCAGTTTGACTTAAATTTTAATTAAATCATATTCTTTCCATGGTCCTAAATGCTAATTCTAATGGAAACCCTATGTTTTCATCCTCTTAAACTGAAACAGAAGAAATCTTAGCAACTTTTAAGTAGTGTGTCCATGCCTTCCTGAGACTGGCTCTGCTTAGGCAAAGGCATCTCTTAGGAACTCTTCAGAACTGACCTGGTGATTATGATGGGGTAGACAGACAAAGGTCCTAGTCTCAGCCTGATCCCAAACTGTCCCTTCAAGCACTCTCATCTGTTCAAGTCAGCCTATGAAATGAGCTCCAATCTGCAGTGATGCTGACAGCATGACAGCATCCACACTCTCAAGATGTCCCCCACACATCTGCTGCAAGATAAAGCCTCTCAAAAAAAAAAAAAAAAAAGAAAGAAAGAAAAAGAAAAAGAAAGAAAGAAACAAAACCCAGAATTCTGAGAACATGGAAATACATCAACATACTAGAAAGCGAAGGAATATGGTAGTAGTAGGTGGGATCTTGCTTCTTTCCTCATTTTCTTTCTTCCCAATCTGGAACCAGGTGAAATACAAAGTACATAAAGGAACATTTAAGGAGGAAAAAGGGGGGCAACACAACAACACATAAAGGCTAACATCACTGGTTTTTCCTTAGCAATTCAGATTTCAGGGATTCAAGAGGATTAAACTTGGCCTTCTACAGACCAAGAAGCAGGTTGACTAGAGCAGCAATTCTCAAGTTTCCCCTGAGGCTTCTGCAACCACCCAAAGGTAAGCAGCTGCACACCTAGGCACTCTGGCTTAAACAAGTCAGTACAGTGCCCAGCCATAGAAGCCAACAGTCAAGTATTGGAGGAAAAAAAAAAAAAAGTTGAGGAACTCACAAGACAGAAAATGCAATAAAAAAGAAACAGAGGATACAGATAAATTAAGAAAAGGGAGAAATGAATTCTGATATGAGGTGAGATTGAGGACTGAACAGGATTCAGGGAGGTATTGGTGAAGGAAGCAGATGTGAAGGCCTCAGGGATGGGCAGGAGCCAGTGAACAGGACAAATGAGAGGAAGGACAACACATATCCATCCATATCAGGTGGCTATGACTTGTGACTGCCTCCAACTCTGCTTAACAACCTGATTCTGGAAAAAAGCCAGGCACTGCTATGCCAACTAATCATTAAATAAATCGGCAGTGCTCTGCTTTTCCATGGAACAGCTTACTGTTATGTCAGTTCTGGTGTAGTCAATTTAATTTAAAGGTACTTCCTAGAAATATACTCAAGGGGTGTGATGACTACATTAACAAAATTGCTAACACTAACCTCACCCAACAGTTCCACATGAAACTCCCTGCTCCAGAGCCCCTGCTTGCGGAGCACTGGAAAACATACGTCACTTCACTTGGATCATTGGTTCATTCATACATGAACCACAACACACTTTAGAGAACAGTGTCTAATGTAAGGTATTTTACATGGAATACACAGCTAACCAACATTCTTTACTCAGAGCTGCATTCTGGCTCCCCAACTCTGAAAGCTAGAACACTTACACACAGGCCTTATGTTTTACCCACAATCCACACATATTACATAAGAACTTTACATCCTGTGAATTATTATGCCTTTTCCATGCAGAGTCAATTATGTACTTCAGATCTATAAATAGCAAATCCATTTAAGTCCTTAAATGTAAACTAAGAATTGTAAGTTCTAAAATATTTAATATCCCAGTAATTCAGCCCCATTTTTCTTGTCTGATAAGGCTACTCTTCATTAATATTTGACCAAATCCCTTATTCAATACTGACACATACCTCTTCCAGTTGTCCTGAAGACACTGGATTATCTTCACAAGCAGGGAACTGACAACCTGCTTTGCAACTGCAAAAATCATTGATTTCCTCTTCACATTGTGCCATTATTTTACAGTTTACTGCTGAGCTTTCTAAATTTATTTCCAGAGATTCATTAAAGTTACATTCCAAACACTGATTTTGTTTTCCCACTGGCAGAATCCCTGTTGCCTCCTCCTGGGAATCCAGTGATGTCTGAGCACTCTTTTCCATTCCAGACTTTTTTAACCTGGGCAGGAATTTCCCAGACTCAAGCTCTAATTTCCCATAGTAGTGGCCTTCCTTCTCTGCATCTTCTTCTAAAGGTTTGAGATCTGCTTGCGGGTCTTCAAATACATCAATTTGAGAAGGAATGGGAATATTTGCTTCATCTCTCTCAGATTCAAACTCTGACTCACTTCCTCCTCCAGGGGATAGTTCAGATGCAGAAATTGGGCGAAAGTGAGTCCGAGGAGAGATTCGTATAGCCCTGTACTGTGTCCTGTCAACACCACATATTCTGGGGTGAAAAACTTCACTGTCTGAATCAGAGCAAAGGATTGATTTCGGTTTAAAACTGGGGCTGAAAGATGCAATCCCTTCTGGTTCAAATGAACACTCTACGTGGAGAACTTGTGAGAATGGATTGCTTAGGTCAAAGGAAGAGAATGAATATTCAAGCCCAGGATCTTCAACTTGAAAGTTACTGCAGGCTCCTAGCAAGTCTTCATGGAAGATAAAAGAAAATCCCTTGTTTAATCCATTTTCCCCACTCTTCGGCATATCATTCTGTTCAAATGACACAAAGGGCTTCCAGAGCTGCCTGTGACCAGGAGCAAAGCTGTTTCCAGGGGTCATAAAGACATCTGTACCAGCTATTGTCACTACATCAGAGGCTGCACATTGTAACAAACTCCCTTTTGTGTGACCAGGTGGTACAACTGCCCACTCCCCATCGCTGTTGAACGTTTTGAGTTCTCCATAAACTCCTCCAAGAATGAATGTGTTCTCTTTATCTTGGGCCACATCCCAAGGTTTAGAGGGTGTGGTGTAATCTCCACCATCCACCTTGGACAGTTCACTAGAGATAAATGCTCTTTTTTCCAAGTTCTCCTTCTGTCCCTCCCAGAGATGATACTCTGATCTCTGCACAGCCCTACTAGGCTCCTGAAGGGCTTCTATCTTAGCATCAGTGTCCAAACAGCAGCAGTAGTTATTTACATCTGTGGAAAATAACTCCTCCCCAGTTCTTTCTGTTTCTACTGCAGCCACAGAATTCCTATCTGCCATCTTTGTCCAAATGTCTTTAATAACCCCTGAGCTGTAGCCATCTCCATGTGGACTGCTTTCACTACATGCCTGTGTAGTTTCAAAGTTCTTGTTTTCTGCCTTTTGTTCTAGCTGAATACCACACACAGATTCTAGCTTAGATCTTTTTTTGAAAACTAAAGTAGGAATTTCTCCTAAAGTTCTACTGTTTTGCTGGCAAGCTTCATCCTGCAAAAAATCTAGAAGTTCTTCATCTACATAATCTGACGAGACTCTGGGAACTACATAATTAATATCTTCCGCAGTAAACTGTGTTGATTCTTCAAACTGAATGTTTAGTGTCTCGTTGTCTGAGCGTGCTTCTTCTGAATGGGACCATGGGCTACAAGTTCTTGTTGAAAGATTAGAACAGTGTTCGTTTTCTTCAAAGGCACTATTTTTGGTCCATATTAGCAATCTAGACTGTGTTTTCCCCAGAATATTAGCACTAGAATCTGTAGGTTCACTTCCCAAGTTAAGTGTTTCAAAAGAAAATGGTAAAACAGAATTACTGCATTGCACTTCAAATACTGAAAAACAAGAGTTTATACCAGATCCTTCATTAATATTGGAAAAGGGCTCTTGATTGCCAGCAAGCACGTGTGAACTAAGTATCGTGCTATCCAAGATAGGAGAAAGTCTAACTGGAGAGTCTCCTCCAAAACTCTCTCCATCAGCATCACCAGAACTAGATGAACAACACTCCCAAAATTGAGCCAGATTGCCAAGGTCTTGCAGAAAGAAGCCCTCAGCACCCACTGAGCTGGTAGAATCTGTCCATATTGCACGTTCCCCTTGCAACTCCATACCATCTAACACTATGCAACATTCTGCCTCAAAATCTGTATTCTCCTTGCTTTTTTGTCGAATCATATTCAAAATCCGACTTTCTCCTTGCATTGTTTCTGAGGCACCAGGATCCAACATGGATTGATCAATATCCACTTCATAGAAGTGTGTTAGTTCTGATAGATGAATATCATCCAGGTATTTATTATCCTCTGGTAGAGAACATAATGAGGTCCCAGCGAGGTCAATATCCTCATTTATAACTGCAGGCATTTCTACAAAATGACCATCAATAAAAGTACCTGCTGCGAGGTATGTTCTATGGATATTACTGTTGCTGATACACAAACCATGCACAGATTCAGACAAGTCTTCCACTGCCTCTGCTGTCAGAGCACTTGTATCTTCCCTGTTTCGGTATGTGGTTTCTAGTTTGCTTTTTCTACTCAAAGGGACAAAATATTCAGCAATGGGTTCCGTGTACCACAGTGGCTCTTCCTTGTATTCTTTGTTGTTTCTGCTCTCCACATATAGGTCTTTCACGGCAGTGTTACCGGGGTCACTCCTCCCTGTCTCCTTTGCTGGTCTTTTACCCCGCTTGCACAGCTGCCTGATGGACCCACTGCTACTGCTGCTGCTGCTGCTACCTGCATGGACACTTCTCTCTGCCTTCTCACAATGTTTAAGTGACAGCCTGCTTTGCCCATTCCGCCCTTTTTTGTTTCGAATTTCTCGTGCCTTGTGTCTGACTTTAACATACTTCATGGATGCTTTTAATTCTCCCTGATTACCACTTGAACTTGAGCCTGCTTCACTAGAACCAGATGACCATGAGCGAGGGCGAATCTTCCCTTCGGGTTTGTGTCGGATCTGCTTTTTGTACAAGGCAGGCTTTTCTTCGATGGTGCCATTGCTCAACTTGTTCTCCTTCTCATGTCTGCTCCTGCTCTGGGCTTTCTCATGTATGGGGATGGAGGCTGCAGTGCTTCTTTCTCTGATGGCTTCACTCTCACTATTACAGTCCTTTGGAGAAGATGTATCTGTGCTTGCTGGTGGGGCTGTGGATGATGAAGAGGAGCTAGAGTGAGAACAGGGTTTGGATTTGTTCCACACAGTCATGATCTCTTGCAGGCAAACCGGTTTCTCAGAAAGCGGTGGGAATGCTTCATAGTACCTGCAAAACAGAGGAAAACTCAAAAGCAAGCCACTTTTTACACTTTGCTACACAAAGACAGCAATGCCAACCTGAGAGGCAGCACTTCGGCTCACTAGTGTTAGCATTCACAACATCAACAAACCATTAATTTTAAAACAATTATGAAGCAGGAAACTGTGCTATGCATTAAAGTCAGTCTCACAAATCAATCACTTTAGCACTACTAAGACTTGAAAGACACTATGCAAATATTATGAAAATATATAAGACAATGGACTCGTCGTCAATTTTAACTAGGAATAAATGACAAAAGCAATGTAATAGGAAGAATGTACTGTGCTAATAGGAAATGTCTGAACTTGAATCTCATCTTGGTCACTTACAATGCTTGTGATGTTAAGCTCACAATTTGATATTTTAGTCTATTTCCTCTCTCTAAAATAGTGAGCATATAACTAACCCCACAAAGTTGTGAATATTAGAAATAAGTGATGCTGGGTGGGGCATTGGTGGCACATGTCTTTAATCCCAGCAATTGGGAGGCAGAGGCAGGCGGATCTCTGTGAGTTCGAGGCCAGCCTGGTCTCCAGAGCGAGTGCCAGGATAGGCTCCAAAGCTACACAGAGAAACCCTGTCTTGAAAAAAAAAAGAGAGAGAAGAAAAGAAAAGAAATAAGTGATGCTGAAAGCTGCTTAGCAAATGACTCAAGAATAGAAGCTCTGTAGCCACATCCCCCGAGACTGAAACTGGCTCTACTGCTTACTTTCTATGCACCTTTAGGCGTATTACAAAATCTCTCTGTGATTCAAAATAGGAGTAAGAAGAGTATCCATCCGCCTCATAAGCAGTACTAAAGGATTACTACAAGAAATGAGTCAAAGCCGGGAGGTGGTGGCACATGCTTTTAATCCCAGCACTCGGGAGGCAGAGGCAGGCAGATCTCTGTGAGTTGGAGACCAGAATTGGTCTACAAGAGCTAGTTCCAGGACAGCCTCCAAAGCCACAGAGAAACCCTGCCTTGAAACCCTCCCCGCCCCAAAACAAAAACCAAGAAATGGGTCAAAACACAACCTATTCCATGTCCTCACTCCTGCTATATTACTGGGGCAACAGAATGGAACATGGCATTTAAAAAGTCTCTCAGGAATAGTAGGGATTGTCACAGTCAAGTGCTCATGAATGAAGACACTGGTGCAATCAGAGATAGGGATCAAAGTTGGGTTTAGTGAGCCATGTGAGGTATATGACCTGACAATACACACATGCTGTGTTTTAGGATGGAAGCCTGATTGGACTGGAACCCCCTGGACATGCTTAGAAGACCATGTAAAAGGAGGAAATAATTTTGACTTGCTAGAAAAACTGGCAGCTTTTGAAGACTTAAGAGCAGAATGGATCCCCAAAGGATGTCTAAAGCTATGCTGGCTCCTGGATGCACTGCTCTTCCAGAGATAACTAAGTGCCAAAGGCCATGTTTACACAGGTGCTGAATGTGACTGTCTGTTTTAAAGCTGTACAGTACAAATTATTACAAGCTTTTTATATAATTTTATTTTTAAAAATGATTTTTTATTTATATGTATGTGAGGGGGTGGTGAATGTATGCCACATGTGTGCAGGATTACCCAAGGAGGCCAGAAGAAAACATTGGATCTCCTAGAGCTGGCGTGACAAGTGGTTGTGAGCCACCTGACATGGGTGCTGCGAACTGAACTCAGATCCTCTGGAAGAGAGCAAGTGCTCTTAACTGCTAAATCATCTCTCTAACCCCAAACATAATTGTCAACATTCTAGCAGTCACACTAGAAGTCTATGTAGAAACCGGTAAAATTAATTCTAATAACTTATTAGAATATTATCACTTCAACATGTAATTGATATTAAACTGATTAATGTACTACTGTTTTATAGTTTTTTATACTGTTCTTGATCTCTACTGAGAATGTAACACAATACAACCAAACAAATGCAATTTTTTTCTTTATTAGAGATTTAGAAGATTAAAATAAAATGCACAGCAAGGAAGTATATTTATAATACAGATTATTTTAATGTTAATCACTTTCAACAGAAGAACTAAAGATAATAGGAAACAAGTCTGGTTAGGTCCTGTGTGGGAGATAGTGGAAACCCAGTTTTCTAGTCTGTGTACAAGAATAATCATGATTTCTTACAGCTATCTCAAAGACTATATGTCAGTTTAAAAGGTGCTGCTACAAGTGGCTTCAGTAAAAAGCAGCAGTCCCTGTTTCCTCCACTTAATAAACACTGACTGAATATACAGTATAAAACTGGACCACCTTACTTACTTTTGCACTCTCAGTACCAAGCAAATAAGTGCTCAGTGCGTTTTCTAAATGAAGAAATAATCCAGATGACAGAGATGGAAGCTATGCAGCAATAACGAGTTTGGTTTTAACAATGCATAGTTCATACCGAGTATAGTCTTACATACATTTCCACTTGATCCTTTGCTGTAGGGGACAATTCTGCCTCTGGAGAGGGAGACCCCTCTAACTTTTTGTGAATCTTCTCTTCTGTTATAAAACAAAAATTCAGAAAAAAATATTATATATCCAGTTAAAAACACTATGCTTTAAAACATTTCTCATTAAAATTAAAAGTAATTTTAATCAGCTATGATACAGATTTTATGGCTTAGAGAGAGAAGCCTGTGCTAGTGTGCTTCTTCAACAAACACTGATGTACTGAGTGTACAGAAGGCACCCTCTGGCCAACCCACATAATCACTAGGCTGCAGGCTGAATGAGAGTCCTTTATCTCATCACCAAAGCCACAATGGAGGCTCTTAACTGAGAGCCTGACATTCCCTCTGTATTATTAATTAGACCAGAAGGTGTGAACATCTGCTCATATTCCAAAAGTATTTTCTCACAAAATTCTGAGTCATGGCCTTTGTATTGACTCATTTTGATTAATACTAATCTGTAAAGAAAACTCCTCACTACAGTTAGATCTGTGACTTAACATGTAAGTAAGCACAAGTCGTGCTTCAGGGCCAACAGAAACAAAGGCTATCCACTTAGCTTGGTCCAAGATATTACCTAAATTAAAAACAAGCTGTGCCCATAGCATAAGGCTTCAAGAATGTGTGCTGCACAGTAACCTTGACAAGGACAGGAACAAGGTTCCTTAGTCTAAATGCAGCCTCTTCCTGAGGTCCTTCAGAGCACTTAGGAACCCAAGAGATTGAATGAGCCTGGCAAGTTGACCTACCCAAAGCACTCAATGAAGACAGAGTTTCATGTCCAAGAGGGCATCAGTTGATTACAACCCTCCTTTGGGAGCAGGGTTTTCCCATGTGGCCACTAAGGACCTCACTGAAACCTCTTGCAGAGCTGAGGGTGATGATAAATACCAGCCTGGTGACACACTCAACACTGAGAAGTACCCTGCAGGGCTGTGGTGGCTACCCCAGCATGCTCACCTTGCTCACTCTGTAGGTCTTTCAGTCTGCAGCAGAGTTCCTCTACTAAAGTCTCAATTCCGGAGCTCTGTGTGAGACAAAAGACAATTAGCTTACCACCAGGTGCAGACAAGACAGGCATGTTATATTATTACCAAGGACCACAAGTCTTCCACGTTCCAAAAGGAATACAGTATCAATTCTTAAGTGAATCCCAGAGTCCAAAAACAGTCTATGTGGAAAGCCAACTTAGTGTAAGCATCTTACTAATGAAGGACATTAAGTGGGACTTCCTGATACAATGTGGCAATATGAATGCAGCTCCCAGAATAACATCTGTCTTGCTCCTTAAGGTAGATAGGTCTAAGTGCTCATCATCTGACAAAAGTCAGTCACCCACAGAACAGCACCAAGGCTCTTTGTAATCATGCTTTTGTACAAAAACTTAACAAAAAAATTACAAAACCTCCTTAGTCTTCTAGGAGATCACAGTCCAAAGAAAACACAGCAAAGCCGGGCGTTGGTGGCGCACACCTTTAATCCTAGCACTTGGGAGGCAGAGGCAGGCATATCTCTGTGAGTTTGAGACCAGCCTGGTCTACAAGAGCTAGCTCCAGGACAGCCTCCAAAGCCACAGAGAAACCAAAAAAAAAAAAAAAAAGAAAGAAAGAAAAGAAAACACAGTAAGTGCTCCTCCTCTTTCCTTCCCCGTCTTCTTCTTCTCTTTTTAAATTGAACTCGCACAAGTCAAGCACAAAGCACACATGGAAGCTCTAAGTTATTTTAGGAGACAGGCACAACTATACTTCTACAAAGACATGCAAGAGGGACAGTGAGATGGTTCAGCTGATGTAAAAGCCACCAAGTCTGACAACCTCAGTTCAATACCTGACAGAGTGCAAGGAGAGAATGGACTCCCACAAGTTCCACAGGCATGTGTACACAGAGAGGGCACAAAAGGATCTGGAGCTGAGGATTAGTCAAGCTCCAAAGAAAAATGTGCACTAGAAACAGTCACGCCACATGATCTTTCCCTTATTTCAAATTCTCTCTCTCTCTCTCTCTCTCTCTCTCTCTCTCTCTCTCTCTCTCTCTGTGTGTGTGTGTGTGATCTGCACAATGGACAGAAAAATGAGTGTGTGTCTTAAAACCTTTGGATTTACTCAGGGACAAGCTTTGTCTGGGTTGGAATCTTGTCTCCTTGAAAGCACACAGCTGGACAGCTGCACACACAAGAGTTGCCTGAGCCTCTGTGCCTCTGCTCTTCGCCTCCAGGAGCTAAAAATAAACTTCACCCATTCGCTGAACTCAAAATGACTCAGCAAAGTATGACAGATGTTCTAAAGAAAAAAAAGCCCCCCTTACACAGTTTTAGCTACAAGAAACAGATTACAATTAGGAAAGTAAACTGTAAATATCCCCAGTTACTGTCTATGTACAGAATTTCCCAGTCTTTAAGAGGGAAAGGAAAAAACAGGCCAGAGGACAGCTGCCTCTTACTTACAGCTTTGAAAAGCAGGCAGACAATACTGTCAAAAGTAATAGACTGCATAACTCCACCATTGAGGTCTGCTTACCATAATGGTCAAGGGGTAATGAGGCCGGCAATTATAGTCCATTCTCCAGGATCCTGAAACTAACACGGGTGTCAGCTGACACGCTGCATACTGTCTTGTACAACAAGTCTATGTCACTGCTTGCAAACCTGGGGCGATCTCCAGTGCAGAATATGGAACCTCTGGGGACTACTTACCCAATTCCTTTCAACCTCTAAAATAGGCTAGCATTTCCCACCCCTGAAGAATTGCCATGACAACCTGTGAGCAAGGTACACATGCTATCTTGTAGTTAGTATAAACTACACATACAACTAGTTACACATGAAAGCAATATACATATAACTATCATCCATTCATAGTGTATGTATGTATGTGTGTGTGTATATACATACATATATACTCTTGTATATGTGTATATACTCATATGTAAAATACCTATGTTTTCAAATACAAACAGCATAAGAAACAGTGCCTTACTCCTTACTTTATATGTATATCAAGCTTTACTGACCAGGTTTCTGTTTTCTTAGCTACTTTGCTATCCTACATGTGTACATTCATACACACAAAGAAACATACCACTACCACACATTTTTTTTTTACAGTACTAGAGACTAAACTCACTCTAGTTAGTATTTTTAATAATGATTAGGCCATATAATATCCTAATAGTAAAATGAATAGCATAAAGGCATCAAAAGCTGCAACCATATCATTATATGCTGGCAAGTATTCTAAAGAGTTTATTTAGAAGTGTTACTGAAAAATTTCAATTCCATTTCTACCTATGATATATGCTATTAAAATTTTAATATTTATATTTTAGTAGTCTATCATATCCACAGAAGTGTTGGAAAATACTTAGCTTAAAGCATCTTAAGAAGGAACAAAGGTTAGGGTGTACCTGTGTGCTAGAAATCCCACAGGAGCACCCGTGGAGAAAAGATGCTGTGGCTCTGCTGTGGTACTCTGCCTCGTCTGCCCTCACTGTAACCATACTCATCCACCAATGCCCAAAACTTGTGGGAAGTGCTCTGGGGAGCAAGTACACTCTAAAATGCACAATGGAGATCAATATGCAGGATGGTCCTGTTTCCAGAGGTGTTTAGAAGGCAGCTCCTAGAGCATGGCTGGGCACTCAATGGACAATAATGAACCCTCACCCAGTAAGCAAGTGGTACAGGCAGCCCGCATGCCAGGCAGGTCACATGAAGAATAAGGACCTGTCCTCCTAGAAGTTAGTCACATGGCAGTATCTCTTACTTTTCTGCGAACAAAGTTAAGTGGGATAGACTTGGGGTCTCCACACCTGGCTCTGAATTCCTACCCTTCCACACACACATGGGAATTCAGGGATATGCTTTTGCTCTAGCTCTCTAAACCCAAGAATACCTCCAGTTCTCTCTCAATACTCACCTAGTTAAGCACACAGGTGATGCACTTGTCAGAGTCTTTATCACCCAGGTTACTTAACATATCATTTCTAATTTTTTTATTTAAATTTTTTAAGATTTATTAATTTATTTAAGATTTATTTATTTATATGTATACAGTGTTCTGTCTGCATGTTTTGCCTACAGGCCACAAGAGGGCACCAGATCTCATTACAGATGGTTGTGGGCCACCATGTGGTTGCTGGGAATTGAACTCAGGACCTCTGGAAGAACAGTCACTGCTCTTAACTGCTGAGCCATCTCTCCAGCCCCTCATTTCTAAATTTTGCATACTCTTCTTCAAAACTGCCTTCAGTGTCTGACAATCTGAATTTGGAGCCAGATCTGAGAAGCTACTGGGGCACTGCCAGTGTCAGGCCATCCTGTCCAACCGCAAGGCTGCCTCTAGCAAAGTACCCTGTAGGCTGTTCTCCACAGACTCCTTGGCTTGGCCTGTACCTCTGTCCTCCTCTGCTGGTGGCTGCATGACAAGGTCAGATCTGTTACTCTGATGTAAACTGAGGCTGGTCAAGTGTACAGCTGCTGTATTGCTGCTTCTGGGAGGTTTTCCTTTGTTCCTTGCTTCTCACCCCCACAGCATTCTCAGACATCTTCCATTCTCTGTAAGCTTCCTGTGCTTCTCAATTTGAAGCCATATCAGTCAGGAAGAGGTGACTGGTTTAATCTCCTTGTGGTCTGCCTTCTCCATACTAACGGCTTCGTAGCTGTTGTAAGCATCTTAAGCTACTCTTTCATGGAGAACTCACTGAACTGGATAGTCCCCAAGTGTGAGACTGGTAACCCTACTGGTGAACAACTAGCATGAAAGTATATCTTTAACTTCCATTTGAACATGGAGCAGTGAACTAACTCCAAGAGATGTGGGTCTAAAGCTACAGTAAACTACAAGATACCATATAAGCCACTGGCCTATCTCAGCCTCAGTTTCTACAGTTGGAAGACCACCTACAGAGGCTGATTGTTGGACTTCCTATACTGGTCCCACAACCTCTTCATTCCTCTGTTCTTCCTAGTGCCACACTGTACTCTAAACCTTCCATTAAGTTTGTTTCATATTTACTGCCATGGTTAGAATCTACAAGAGTGCCTTGTCTCTTATTTGCTCTGTTTTTCTGCTGCTGGATCATCCTCCTGGGTGTTTTCTCTCAATGGAGCCCAATAACTCACAGTCCAAACTGTCTTCATTCAGTCTCTCTAGAACATCAGTGCTGGAGGGCATCCCCTCACTCCACAAGTACCACAAGTAAAGCATGTTGTTCAGCACTTGCTGCTTAGCACCCCGCCCCCAAATGAAAACACATTAGTAATGGGGTCAAATGCGATTTTAGAATGCCAACTCCTGGCTCCACAGACCATGCCTGCTAAAGCACTAGCCCTGTGAAGACAGGAATCATTGCTACCCCATTGCAGCTGCATGGAACCACAAACAAGACCAGCAGAATTTCCCAGAGAACTCTGAAATCAAATACAATGGTTTCAGTTCCATGCTGCACAGGGTCTCTTTTAGTTCTATGTATTAGAATGTGTAATTTCTACAGCAGAGGCTGGAAAGGGAATGGAAAGAAGCTCAGGTAAGGTATCAAAAGAATGACTACTGGTGACAGTAGAAGGATCAGCTTCATACTTTAATGTCTGAAGGTTTTAAAAACCTTTATAAAATTTAGAACTGTCAGTGGTAAGCTAGGAAGCAAAGGAGCACCAATTGAGAAGACTAAGAACACAGAGCTGGTGTTCATAAACTCTTGCTTTCAGGGCCAAGAAATAGTAAAAGATTTTTAAATTCCCAAACCAAAAGGCTGTTTGCTCTAAGGCCACAGTAAGGATAACAGTTCCCATCTTTGAACACAAGAGGCGCTCCAGAGTGTCTCCAGTTCTTACATCATCTGCTCTTTAGAAATGGTACAGATTAGGAGAGAAGCACCCACTGGATGGACACATGCCACAGGCAGGGAGAGCAGAGGTCTAGGATATGGACTGCATCCTGCTGAGGTGGTAAAGAGAAGTCAGACAAAGAGGAAAGGGGCAGCACACAGGTTACTGATATAGTACCTGCCTAGTATATGTGGGCCCTAGGTTCCAGTCCAGCACTATTTTCCCTACCCCCTCAAAAAAGAGGTTACCAACATCTGCTATAAGTGATGACAAAATAACACCATCAGTCAAGCACGGTGACACATGTTTGTAATACCATCTACCAGGAGGATGACATAGGAGGATGCCCAGTTTGAGGGTGGCCTGTTCTACACAATGAAATCCTTTCTAAAAAATGAAACAAACATAAACCCCAACCAAAAAGCAAAACAAACAACAAAAACCACAATCACAGCTTACAAAAAAGCAACTCAGTTTTGCTTCAGTTTTCAGTAGGGAAATGATGTGAGCCATTTATCATTTCGACAAGACAGCTATCTACAAAGTTCACCCTTGAGAACTGAGTGCTTTGGGTAACAATACCTATACAAAAATCAAAGTAATCTATGATTGTGTTGGGTTGTAGGCTGGACTTGCCCAAAGGCACAAGAACTCACTAAATAACCTTCAAGGTATGAGGACAGATGAGATATTAATTGTTCTATGATGCTGTCAACAGACTGAAGAAAAGATTTTAACTTGAATTAAGTTCTCTAACATTCCTATTTCCTTATGTCATCTTGTAAACATAGGCAGATTTTGTTTTCAACAGATAGGAAAATATCCCATTGTTACTAGGCCATTTCTTTTCTCTTCAGATATCCATGTGACTTCAGTAAAAACTAAACTCTGATGATTCAGGCCAGAAGCTTGGGAGGTTCTGGGCTAAGATTTTTGTATACTTTCATTAATATTGCACTGTCCCTTTAATAAGAAAGGTCAAATTTTCAAAGCAGGACTTGGAATAGATTTTCCAAAACTATATTTTGATTTGCAAAACTTACTTAAATAATCTGAGGCAGATCTTACTCTGTAGTTCAGCTGACCCTTAGACTCACCAGCTTCCTGCTCCAGCTCCCCAAATGCTCTGATTACCACCATGCCTGGCTGGAGCAGACATTGTCATCTATGAAGTGTTACTGGGGAAGGTCACTAATGTGCATGAAAATTATTGTACAGAAAAGTTTACATTTCCTTCTGGCCAAGTCCAGAGTGTAAGACTTCAATCTACTGACCCAATGCCTCAGCATGTAGGGTGGAAAAGGTACCGCAAAGAACAACATGTAAGAGCAGAGCTGGAGCTATGGCTCAGGGGTTAAGAGCACTGACTGTTCTCAGGGGTTAAGAGCACTGACTGTTCTTCCAGAGGTTCTGAGTTCAATTCCCAGCAACCACATGGTGGGCTCACAACCATCTGTAATGTGATCTGGTGCCCTTTTCTGGCACGCACTGTATGCATGATTAAATAAATCTAAAAAAAAAAAAAAGAACATATAAGAGCCTCTAGGCTTAGTGGAAAACACCTTTATCCCAGCAATTAGGAGGCAGAAACAGGTGGAGCTCTGTGAGTTCCAAGACAGCCAGAGCTAGGTACATAGTGGGATACTATCTAGAGAGAGAGAGCATATATACAGAGAAAGAGAGAGAATACATACATAGAGACAAAGTATACAGGAGGAGGGAAACACAATGGAAAGGTTGGAAGATACATTAGTAGTAGAATATCCCAAAGGTGAAAATTACTAATAATTATTCAAGAATGAAAAGAACAAAGTGACTATAAACACAAAATTTTAAACATTTAAAAGAAAGTGGCAGCTGGGCAGTGGTGGCGCACACCTTTAATCCCAGCAATCGGGAGGCAGGCGGATCTCTATGAGTTTGAGACCAGCCTGGTCTATAAGAGCTAGTTCCAGGACAGCCTCCAAAGCCACAGAGAAACCCTGTCTCGGGGAAAGAAAAAAAAAAAAAAAGAAAGAAAGAAAGAAAAGTAAGTCGCAAAACAAATTCAGAATGGTGCTATTTATATGAGATTGAAGAACATGCAAAGTAATCCTAAGCATAAAAGCAAGCATGGGGAAGGGAGATGAGGCAAGAGAATCAAACTCTGGGAGTGTGGTCCCCACAATGTAACTCCATACAGGCCTATTTTTATGTTTCCTCCTCACTGAACTTGAGGTTTTTAGAAAAGCCTCTTCTACTTGTTTCCTTTCTCAGGTCCTCACTTTTAAACATTTGAAAGATCAGAAATTTCCGAAGAAACTTCAATTTTGCATCTTTTCTGGAGAGAGAAGCTCCAGGCTACATAAGCCACATGAAACATTTTACTATTTGAGGCTTCTGAGGCCCACAAGCCACTCAGCCAACCAAACCTGGACATGCAGTCACCTATACCTCTCAGGAAGGTGCCTTACACTCCAGTAGATTTTCATCCCCCACCCACCCAGATGGGATTCCTTTCTCTGGATATAGGAAACTCACTCTTGAAGGTGCTCAGACCTCAGATCTTTGTCACCTCCCTGAACTGTTTGCCTTTTCCCTACCCTATATGCAACTTTGCATTCAATAGAGTCTGACTAGCTCTTCCCATCTGCCACAGGGTCACTGCAACAGCTGCTGCTTTGTTTTGCTTTCTCAGACAGTCTCACTGTAGTAAGAATGCTCTCCAACCCATGATCCCCAGCCTCCACACAGGTTCTTCACTGCTTTCCCCCTGTCTGCACTCAACTCCAGTTAACCAGCCTCATCACCATCCAGTCTCTATGCAGAAGCCATAAGCTGTAATCATCATTTAAGTCATATCGAATCATCCTCTTTTCCAAACCCTCTAATCCTTCAGAGTTTCTTAAGCCAAAGACTCTAGAAAGCCCATCTATATATCCATCTGTGCACCTAGGGAGAAAAGGCCAGGTGCTCCAAACAGGATTGGCTGGGACAGCACTGCAGCTATGAGTGTTCTTAGTTCCTGGACTTAGTGATTGTGGTCTCACTTCTCACTACGTGAAGAAAGCATCCAGACAGGTACTTCCCACTTTTGGAAAGCTCAACGATTCCTTTACAAGCTCCATTCACCTTATTAATCCTCTTCTGTGGCTGTCTAATCACACCCTCTTCCTCTGCTGTCTGTCACCACACCTCATCACAGTAGGATGGACACATGCACAACCTATAGGATTCCTTTTCTAGTGACCAACATTGGATACTTCAACAGTCATGATGAGCTTGGGCTGGAAAGGGCCATTCTTTAACACATTTATGCTAATACAGAGAGCTGGAATTCATAAAGAAAGGAAAGACCCACCAAGTGTTGAGAAAAACAATGGAAAACTTTAGGTCAATGGAGACAATAGCATTATTTGCTTTCACAGTTCCTAGTTCAGGGTCCTCTTGGGGCCTTTACACTTTCAGCCTACAACTTCAGTGAGACATCCTATTTTTGTTAAACTAGATGAATGATGTTCTTGCTTGGAATAATGCAATGGTACCTATGATAGAGAGTCATACATTATGTACTGAATCTGGAAAGTGCCTCAGGGGCTCATATGTATGAACATGATTCCCTAGCTAGCAATACTATTTTACAAAGTTATGGAGCTTCTGGAACAAGGTGCCTAGGAGAAAGCCTTTGAAGGTTTCTAGCCTGGTCAAACCTCTCTGCTCTAGCTCTCTGCATCCTGATCCTCCAAATACTAACAAACTAAGCCTCAAGTTCTCCTGGCACCAGACAATCTACCCAACACCATGCCTTTGCCACCATGATGGATTGTAATCCCCAAAACCCTAAACCAAAGCAAATACTTCCTTCCTAAAGTTGCTTCTGCCAGTACCCCGATTACAAGAGAGAAGTAACTAGCACTATCCACATAAGCTGCAGCTTTTAAATTCCTATCCCCAGTAGATGTGGTGCATGAGAGAGAGAAAAAGACCTAGGAAGAGAATTACCACAACAGGAGGTTTTTGTTTTGTTTTGTTTTTAAATTAGAAACAAGCTTGTTTTACATGTCAATCCCAGTTCCTTCTCCCTCCCCTCCTCCCCTGCCCCCCTTATCCCATCTCCTTTCTGCTCCCCAGGGAGGGAGAGGCCTTCCATAGGGGATCTTCAAAGTCTGTCATAATTTGAGACAGGAGGGATTCTTAACAATGAAAATGCTATTATTTCTAGAGAAATTCAATAGCATCTATATTCAAAATTCAGCCTGATAGGCACTCCAAGGTAATAAAATAAAATAAAGACAGACAGACCACCCTTTGCTCAAAGAGCATAGTCAAATTAACAATGGAAATCTAGGGTTGAGGTTGTGACATAGGGTGATGCACAAGTATGGAGGCCACCCAGCCAGGAAAGCAGGTTTGTGAATTATGAATTGGCTGAGAACACAGTGGGAGGTGGGGATGAGAGGACAGTATGGACTGAGACAAGGACTAACACGAAGCAAGAGGAAGACAAGGACTAACTTGCAACAGATACAGCCAGATGAGTAAACTCCACAGATCACAGATGAAGCAAACTGGCTATGACAGCATTAGACCACAGGACCTCTTGGTTCAGGAATGAAGTCTAGAGGTTGGAACCGTCTCAATTCAACCTTTCATTGTAAAGGTGTTTAAAAACTGTACCATCTCATCACAAAACCATTTCAAGCAGTTAAAATTTCAGAGATTTCATCATAAGAGTAGGTGACTACTTAAGTAAGAAAACAAACTTACTTCATCAGAAGCAGAGCGCAGACACTGGACAGCAGCCTGCTTTTTCATCTCCTCTAGTGTTAGATCTGAAGACTTCTTCTTACTCCTTCCCCATTTCTTATAAGCTCCTTTCTCCCAGCCCAAGATGTCATTCTCCTGCAATGAGATAATACCAGGTTAGATGACTAAGACTGGAGAATCAGCCAGGCATTGGTGGTGCACACCTTTAATCCCAGCACTCAGGAGGCAGAGGCAGGTGGATCTCTGTGAGTTCGAGACCAGCCTGGTCTACAAGAGGTAGTTTCCAGGACAGCCTCCAAAGCCACAGAGAAACCCTGTTTCAGGAAAACAAAACAAAACAAAACAAAACAAAAGACTGGAGAATAAGTTTAAAGAGCCCCGCACACAACTGCTTACATGTACATTTCCTATCAAATACTCAAGATGGACAGCTTAGAACCTGGCACTCACAGAGTCTGCTAAGATTATTCATCTTCTCAAGAACCTGACTACTTTCAGTGGTAAGACATGCCAACTGGCAAACAAGGCAACTCAGGCTTGTGCATAAACAGAAATGTAACTGAAACCCAATATAAACTCTGTACTATACACTAAATGTCTCCTTTAGTTTCTGCTTTTCAGTGAGTATTCAGATTATGGTATGGTTTTTACAGCTTATCAGGTAAATGGTTAAATCCCTATTTCTCTACCTTACTGTCTAAAGAACACCCAACAGATATTTTACAGAGATTGCCAGTTTATTTCCCCTGACTTTTATATGACAATATAAAAATCTAAAGACAATTTCAAAAGCAAGAAGGTGAGAGGGGGACTCCAGTCACTGTTCTGCCTGCCACTCAGTAAAAACAAGAAAACCTGAGCATGCCTCAGTTAGTTTTCCCATGTCCCTTTAAAAGGTACTTACAACGGCATAGTAGGACCTGAATAATTTTGTATCTGGTCATTACCCACTTTACAAACTCTTTGGTTATACAATAACACAATGCAAGTTTACTCAACTCTTTCTCTAAAGCAGAAATTTATGGAATTACTTTCCATCACTTTGCTAGTCTGTTTTGCATGCAAAGCCTTTTACTTGATAAAGTGACTAAAAGAGTAGAAAGACAAGATGTAAAAAGACTAGACAGAGCAGATAATGACTCAATGAATGAAGTTACTATTCAGAAGGGTACTGGTCTCAGGAAATAGAGAAAAGCCAATGAAGGACATGGGATATATAAGGAGAAGAACCACAACTATAAATTCTAACCATGTTAAGAGCAAAAAGGAAACTATTAACTGCCAACCCCATTTTCACTTTGCTCCAAACCAGAAATGACTCTCTATACTGCCAAATATGAGTGGAAGCAGATGACCCGTGTGCCTCTCATACTCACAACCTGTAATAGTGATTTGCTATGTTTTTAGAACTCATTTTTTTTTTGGGTGAATGATGTTATTTCCATTTTCCAATGAAACAATTCTGGTAGTCAAATGAGAATGACCAGTGTTTCCATTTATTGACTGCCTAGCTGAACTACATCTGAGACCCAACACTTCTAATCCATGGTATCTTCTGGAGACAGATTGTGTTCTGTAACAAGAACATAGGCCAGAGTCCTAACAATGTCGACTCAAAGCTTCTTCAAGACAGAGAAAATGCTCCAAGCTCCTTGTCACACTATATTTTAAAAAATAAATAAATATGAGGTGGGAAAGATGACTCATCAGTTAACAGCTCTGGTTGTTCTTCTGAAGGACCTGGGTTTGATTCCCAGAACCCACACAAACTTTCTGTTAACTCCAGTTCCAGGTGATCCAATACATTCCTCTGGCCTCTGTAAGTACCAGGCATGCATGTGGTACACAGACATACATGCAGGAAAACACCTGTAAACACACACATACACATACAAAAAAAAAAAATTAGAAAAAAAAAAGCATGCAGGAAAGCTACTTGAAAATCACTGGAAATAGATGGAGCTTAGTTATAGATGGAGCTTAGTTCTATATGGCCTGAGATTAGCTTTCCTCTTAATGAGCATCAGGACCCTGAAATCTATTACAGCTCAACAGAGGTGACATGCACTCAGCAGTCTGCACAAACTGCAAACTCACAAGGACATGCTGTCTTTCTGAAGCACAATTTGACGGCATATGTCAAACATCTTAAGCATGTACTTTTGATCCAATGAGTCTTTCTGGGAATTCCTGAGGAAATAATCACTAATGTAAACGATTTTAGCAAAGCTATGTTGACTGTATAGTTGTCAATAATGGCGAATAAGGAAAGACAACCTAAATGTCAAATAGGAGAACATGGCTAAATAAGTCATGATTCATGCAGACATGGGACAGGACAGCTACTAAAGGAATTTGAAGTGGACTGGCATGGAATGCTGTGGTACTATACTAGTTAACTACAATATGATCTTATTTTAGTCTCTCTCTCTCAAACATCTAAGAAATGCTATGAATACATTCACAAAAAACAAAACAAGATTTTTATCATTTATACTGTCTAATGAGTCATACTCAAAGGTCAAAAAAAGCTTTACACTCAAAGCTTGGAAGTTGACAGAAGAGGCAGCCTGTGGATCTCAACTTGAACCTGGTACCTGGCAACATCCTTAGGCTTCCTGTCTGGCAGGCCTTTGTGTGTACATGAAGAAAGAGCCATCCTCTTACCAGATGGTTTTCCCTTTGGCATTAGGTTGCAACACAGAACACAGCATAATCTCCACTTGTTGGAGATGTACAGTCTAGCAGGAAGAAGTGAGCCAAGCATTCTGGGATGGCAATCACTAAGGAAATGCTGAAGAGGCATGTTCTCTTCTTGGTCTGGGAGAGAAAGGTTTCCAAGGAGAAATGGTCACTAGTGTGCTCTATACACACTGACTAGAAGTCTGGCCAGTTGAGGGGGCAAGTTATGCAGAAGAAACAGTGGGCTTCACAAAGCATAGAAAATATGCTCTGTAAAGGGGCTGGAGAAATGGGTCAGTGGTTAAGACACTGGCTATTCTTTCAGAAGATCTGAGTTCAATTCCCAGCAATCATATGGCAGCTCACAGCTGTCTGTAACTCCAGTTCCAGCGGATCTGACACCTTCACATCAATGCACATAAAATAAATTTATTTTTTAAAAGAAGAGTCTGACTAAAAATAGTTGAAGGTTAAAAGAATAGCTAATTTAAGGAAATAATGTAGAAAAATATTTCTAAAATTTTTACTGATAAAATTTTAAATCTAATTCAGTAACGAATCTGTGTAATATATCCATACTAGTGAGAATGGGCTTTGTAGGCAGGGGTCATACCTGCAGGGCTCTAGCACAGAGGTCCTAGATTCCATCTCTCTGCCAAAGATGACTAATTCTTTGGGAGGAGGGTAGTATTTGACTGACTAGAGTTCAAAGTCAGCATTTCTACCCATAAAAACCAACAAGCCAAGCCAGGCATGGTCATGAAGGGCTGTGGTCCCAGATACTCAAAGACTGAGGCAGAAAGATGACTTGAATCCAGGAGTTCCAGGCCAGCCTGGGTAAAATAATAAGATCACTGCAAGAAAACAAAACAAATTAATCAAAAATATTCAGTTGCTAAAGTGAGTTTTTTACTGTTCCAGAAAGACACAAATCAGGCAAGACATATATAAGATATGACATCTTAGAAGCCAGGCATCTGTAATCTCAGTACTTAGGAAACTGAGGCAGGAGCATCATGAGCTTCAGGGCATCTTGGACTATATAGTAAGAATGTCTCAGAAACAAAAATAGCACCAGAGAGATGGTTCGTCAGGTAAAGAGACTTGCTGCTGAACCTCACAGCCTGAGTTAGGTATGTGGGACCCACATGTAGAAGAAGAACCAACTATGCAAGTTGTTCTCTGGTTTCCACACATGCACTGTGGCATGCCTGCCTCCAAACATACACACACAAATAAATAATAAGTCTAAGTACACACACACCATGCACACCACCCTTTAAGGTTAGGTGTTGATACTGACATAATTCACACATTTTAAAACTTTTGTTTAATTTTGGTGCTAGATATAGAACCTAGGGCCTGCACATGCTACCCTTTACTTTTAACATCATTTAGGTTTTTGGGGTGTGTGTGTGTGTGTGTGTGTGTGTGTGTGTGTGTGTGTCCACAAGGCTACATAACAGGCATCACTATTTAACTTTAAATACTTCTTTCAACCTAAAAAGAAACTCTGCCTGTGAGCACTTTCCATTCATACATAGCCCTGCCTGTGTAGATACTAACTAAGGAGTTATACGATGCCTACTCTTTGAGCTTAGTCTTCCGACACTCATCCATACTGTAATAACATGGATCAGTGTTTCATCCATGTTTATGAGCAAATTAATATTAATAGTTACTAATGTAAATATTAATATGTAGAGTGTATTTTGTTTATCCATTCATCCACAGATAGATGTTTGAGCTATTTCCACACTGCTATGGACACTCAAATATAAGTCTTGGCCTAGACACCAATTTTCAATGTTCTTGGTATAGATAGAAGACAGGTGTGTGTATGTATGTATGTATGTATGTATTGGCCCACATTTGAACTGTGTTTAATATCTGAAGAACTACTAAACTATTTTCCAAAGCAGCTGCTATATAATAACATCAGCACTTTACCAGCATCTTTAACTGTCTTGTGTTCTTTGCTGTACCCACCCTCTAATAACAACTGATGCTAAGCCCCTTCCTGTGGACTGAATGTCATCTCCAAACCGTGACAGATGTAGCATAGGGTCTTTCTCGGTGCTGAGCTATAAGAGCTCCCAATCCAACTGCCTGTGCATTTTTGAGAATATGACTTGCCTCTTCACCTCCATGATGGTGTTATCTGAAGTCCCAAAGGTTTACTTGTAGTAAGGTCTTACTAATTTATATAGCCTCTGGATTCTTATGCTTTTGCCTCATATCTAAGCAACCACTCACTGCCTACCCAAGTTTTTAGCCCTTATACTCAAGTGTCTGGTCCATTGTGAGTTAACTTTTCAATATGGTAGAAGGCAGAAGCTAAGCTTCATTCTTTATTTTAGTATAATAAAAAACACAGAATGCGGGCTGGAGAGATGGCTCAGCGGATAAGAGCAGTGGCTGCTTTTCTAGAGGTTCTGAGTTCAATTCCCAGTAAAACCACATGGTGGCTCACAGCCATCTGTAATGAGATCTGGTGCCCTCTTTTGGCCTGTAGGCATACATGCAGGCAGAACACTCTATACATAATAAATCTTAAAAACAAACAAACAAACCACAGAATGCTTTGTGAATCTGCATGCCATCCCTGTCAAGGGGTCATGCTAATCTTTTCTGCATTGCTCCATTTTTATTGTATATGCTGCTGAAATGAGCAGAGCTTCATTCTCTGTCTGGTACCTAGGGGCCCAGGACCATGCACTGAAAGACTGTTCTTTCCACATTGTTGGAAACCACCTGACCACAGATGGAAGGGTTCATTTCTGAACTCTTGGTTTCAGTTCACTGACTTAAACTCCTAGTCATAAGTCAGAACTAAACTGTCATTTCACAGTCTTGTAGGAAAATCTGAAATTGGGAAGTAAGTTCTCTAAAGATGCTATATTTTTGTTAGTTGTTTCCAAGAAATTTGGGCTACTGTATATCCCATGAGTTTCTCATATAAACTTCAGGATCAGCATGTCAACCTCTGCAATAAAAAGGTGGTAGGGTTCTGATGATAACTGGTGAGTCTCCAGATCAGTTTGGGGAGTACTGCCATTTTAATGATACCATTAATGTCCTCACACAGATACTGCCAAATTCTGGCATTAATCAGAAAGCCTAAGTTTACTTTGAAGGTTATTTACAAAACCAAATCTTGTCTTCTTTGCTGCCTATTAATACATTGGTATGCTGTAGAAACGCGTGAAGCAGTTTAGTATGATTTATCACTCAAACATCAGTTAAAAATTTCACTGCATTATAAGACAGAGCTATTTACCCTCTTTAGGTTCAACTCTCTGGGAAACATAAAACCTGTAACAAAAGCTACATAAAAATATAGCACATCACATATACATTTTACGTTCTATTCTTTCCACTTATTTCAAGAGTTCTCCCTCTCCGTATTTTTGTTTCGTTATTAGCCCACATTTTACTAAAATCACTGAACTAATCATCAGATTCTTAAAACAGTATAGTATAAAAAGATCTATTTTAGGGGCTTGGGAGATGGCTCATCAGTTAAGACCCCTGCCTGCTCTTCCAGAGGTCCCGAGTTCAATTCCCAGCAACCACATGGTGGCTCACAACCATCTGTAATGAGATCTGGTGCCCTCTTCTGGCCTGCAGGGATACATGCAGGCAGACCCTGTATTCACAATAAATAAATTTTTTAAAAAAGAATCTATTTTATAATGAATATAAATGTTCCCCGCTGCTGAGTTCATGCCAAACTGGCTTGAGGGGAAGTCACCTGGCTGATTCCAAGCTTCGATGTCACTGGGCTTCTCCTCTGCTTTTTTGGCTGCCTCCTCCTTTAAACTTGGTTTTGACCTAGCTCCTTGTAGGGGTAGAGGGTGGTGACACTGGGCATCATGATGTTCTCACACACCACGCAGAACCATGCAGTGCTCATTTCTGACTGGTCTCAGGGCTCTCTTGAGCAGATCCTTGAAGACAAGTCCTGCTACTTTGCTTTCAGCCACCTAGGGCCTGAAGTGGGTGGTAGTGTGTGCGCTGGGGAGAAGGGGAACACAGTCTCATTCAGACTCACTAGGCTTCTGTTCCTCAGGAGTCTGTTAACAAGAAGATGTGGGAGGCATGGGTGGGTGCTTAGCAGCAGACAGCAGTGACACCAGCTGTATTTTAGAATACCATGTTCTTTTTCTTCCTCCGGTTCCCAATCTCCTTTTTGAAAGAAGACAGAATGAGGCAGTCAATCAAAGCCCTAACCTTATGTCACCTCACCAGTGTGTCTAGAAAAGCAGGTGCTAATAAATAGATGGTTGCCTGGGGAGCTCTTCTGCCTCATCTGCTTTTGGTACTTGATAATTGTGTTCTGCCTTCCAGATTAGGACTTTGGAAAAACATACTTGATCTTATTCAGTGTCAACCAGTCAACTCTTACGGCATAACACGAATTGGGCATGGTGGTGCACAACTTAATCTTAGCACTTGTAGAGGCAGGAGAACCAGAAGATCAAGGTCATCCTTGAGTGAGCTCAAGGACAGCCTAGACTACATAAGAACATGTCTCAAAAAGAAAAATAAGTTCTTCTAGTGTCCTGGGCAGAATATGGATCCAAGCTCAAGCCATCAGCATGAGTACGGATGCTGCTCTGACTTGCACATTCCTCATATACATTTCTCCTATTTTAACATTTTCCATTAATACTACATGCTCCTACAAAGTAATTATACACCTAATGGGTAGTTCTGACTTTTAAAAACAATTTATTTATATGTATTTTATGTGCATTGGTTTGAAGGTGTCAGATCTCCTGGAACTGGAGTTACAGTTGTGAGATGCCATGTGAGTGCTGGGAATTGAACCTGGGTCCTCTAGACGAGCAGTGAGTGCTCTTAACCACTGAGCCATCTCTCTAGCCCCATGGGTAGTTTTAATTTTAAACACACATTTTTTCTGCCACCTTCACAGGGGGTTGACAATTGCAGGATAGGGGTTAAGAGCACTGGCTGACCTTGACGAGGATCCCAGTTTGGTTCCCATCACCTATGGCTCACAAACCACCTGTATCTCTAGCTCAGGGGAATCTAAAATGTCTCCAAGAGCACCTGCACAAATGTGCCCATATACACATAAATAAAACATAATGAAAATAAATTTAATATAAAACAAGAATCATTTTTTATTTGACCTTCCCCACCATAAGCCAAGGTATCCTCTGCCTTACCAGTGCTAAATGGAAATGTGTTTTTGGTGACTGGGGAGATGCTCAATGGATAAAGCACTTACTGTACAAGTGTAAAGACCAGAGTTTGGATTCCTACAACCTATGTAAAAAGTTGGCCAGGCATGGCAGCCAACCATAATCTTAGCACTTGGGAGGCAGAGACATAGAATCCCAGAGGCAAGCTCGTGAGATGAGCTGGAATTGGCATAAGCCAGGTTCAATAGCCCTGTTACAATAAATAAAGTGGAGAGTAGTTGGGGAAGATAATCTGATGTCACAGGCCTCTGTTGGTACTCACACATTTTTGAACATGCACATACACACACAATGCCCCCACCAATAGTAGTTTATAACTCCTTATAACTCCATAGTGTGCTTTCTCCAGTTTTTATCTGTTTTGTCTATAAGCAGTAAGCCAGAACCTGGGAGGAGGACCAAATTTGGGTTGAGACTTACTATTTCTCTGACCCAGGACCCCAACTTGTTGCAATGAATAAGAAACCAGAGAACACTTGACCAAGTGTGTCAGTCATGTGCATATACACTCTCCTTTGACTACATCTACACGTTACCCTCTACATCCCACAGCACTTGGTACATAAATACCTCGCCTTGGGAAATATATTGCTGTTGATTAAATCTTCCAGATTGAGACTCTAATAAACAACTCTAAAAATGAGAAGTTAAAGTCTTACTGAAAACAACCCATTCCCTGTGAACTGAAGTAGCTATGAAAAACGTCCTCATTTCTAGAAAAACCATTCTTCCATGTTTGTAGAGAGAACATCTTGCCTCTCAAGAGTCTATTTTACATTTTCTAGAAAGATGTCGATAAATTAAAAGGCTGACCCCAAAATAACACGTCTGTTAACTATGTGCTTTCTTTCTTTTTTTCTTTGGTGCGGGGAGTGGTTTGCTTTTTCAAGACAGGGTTTCTCTGTGTTAATAGTTCTGGCTGTCCTGGAACTTGCTTTGTAGACCAGGCTAGCCTTGAACTCACAGAGATCAGCCTGTCTCTGCCTCCCAAGTGCTAGGATTGAAGGTGTGCGCCACCACAGCCCACTGATTAAGAGGTTTTCAATCCCTTCAGAACCTTATTTGAGCTAGATATGTTAGTATATGTGTTCCCAACACTTGAATGACTGAGGCAGGGATATCAGTTCAGATTCAAGGCTAGCCTGGGATATCAAAGTCAAACAAAAGATAAAAATAAACAAACAAAAAACACAAGACAAAACTTTATTTGTTCCTAGCCAGGGCAGCAAGCAACCTAGAAGCCAGAAAAGTACAGATGTATCCAACCCAAGGATGCCAACACCAGCCAAAACGAGCTCTGGGCAAGTGATGTATGAAAATATTAGGAGCCTCAGAGAAAGCCTCTGCATTATTTACTGGACTCTTAAGGGTTTTGTTTTCTTTTGTGGGTTTGGAAGATTCTTGTCAATAAATGTTTGTTTCTGCTATCAATGTTAATAACAATTTAAAACAAAGTTACTCACAAAATACCACTTTCTTTGAACTAATAATTTTTTTAAAACTACAAGATTGTATGTAAAGTTTGTATACAGGATTACCTAGGGCCCTCTCTTGCACCTGGGAAGACATGTCTCTGGAGGAAACTAGCAGCAGTTCTTGGAAAGTAAGGCTGGATTGTTTTTTGTTTTTTTGTTTTGTTTTGTTTTGTTTTTTTGAGAATCAACATTTGATTGGTTTCTGACTTTAAACTCAACATCCACATAAATAAAATGTGATGACAGACTTTAAAGTGACATACAATGACATCTGGTAAAGCTATAAGCTTGACAGGACTTTTAAGGGTAGTGATTTGTCTTGTGCACTGTGATTAATATCATTCTTCCAGACAAATACAGTATTTACCTAGGAACAGAAGAAAATAAAATAGACATGTAACTAACTTTCCTAACACTAGAAACCAACATTCAAGGCAGTGGTATGAAAAGACGGCAAGTCATCATTGTATTCCCAGTACAGATGAGACACAAAGTCCGTGTCAGAATGTAAGCAACAAGGTCTATGAGATTAACAACTGGACCAGACAGTGATTCTACTACAATCTTGTTACTGACAGAAATTTTCACAAATTCCTCATACTACACAATGATTATTTCTGAGTTGGAATACTTGAAGCCTTAAGAATGTACACCTATGGACCTGGAGAGATGGCCCAGCAGTTAATAGCACTTGCTCCTTTTGGCAAGAATCCAGGTTCAGTTCCCAGTACCCACATGGTGACTTACAACTGGGATCCAAGTTTTTGATATTCATAGGCACCAGGCACACACATGGTCCACACATATCCACATAAGCATAAAATAAAAAAAATTTAAATCCTTAAGAATGTACACATACAGGGTTAATGATATATCTTAGCAGGTAAAGGTGCCTGCTGTGAAACCTGACAACTAGAGTTCAATGCCTGGAACCTACAAGGTAAGAAGGGAATCAACTCCTACAAGTTGTTATCTGATCTCCACAAAAATGATGTGGCACATGTGCCCCTCCACATCACAAATAAATAAAAGAATATACAAATACCAAGTGAGTACTTGATACCTAAGAGGCAACCCTAAAGGAACACCTGTGTGGGACTGTCTAGATTAAGGCACCTCTGAGAATGTGTGGGGGATTGTCTTGTTTGACTTGACGTAGGAAGACCCATCTTTATTATGGGTGGCATCATTCCCTGAGGAGAGTATCCTGGACTGCACAGAATGGAGAGGGCAAGCGGAGCACTAGCATACACGCATTCATTCACTATGCTTTTGAATGGATATAATGAGAGCAGTTCTCTCCAGCTCCTGTAACTGTGACTACCCTGTCCTTAGGAACCATAATCTGGATTTCTGAGCCATATAAATTTTCTCTCTTAAACTTCTATTGAGGTATTTTCATTACAAAAATAGAATGTAACTAGACACAGACACAGCCATCAAATGTCACAAAGACTTAACACACATCAATACCTGTTCCTGAAGGTCATAGTCATAGCTGTCATGCAGCAGAAGACTGAGGATATACCGCGAATAAATCATGGCATCAATGCCACATTTCTCGAGCTCTTGTCCCAGCCAGGTTTGCACTGGACCCAATGCATGAAGCAGAGACATGTCAGAAACAGACACAGGGCCTGGATAAGAACTTGAGGTGCTTTCAGATGGTAAACCATCCACAACAACTGTAGAGACAGGGCACATGAACTTAGGTTGCTGACATCCTTAAAACGCAAAGCATTTTCTATAGCGGATGTTCTGTTGGTATCCGGAGAGGATTTCACTCCAGCAGAAAGGAGAGGAGCTGGACATGGAGGACAGGCAGTGACCGCGCAGCAGTCAGCTCTCTATAACACAATTTCCCTCTTCAGGCATGACCAGTGAATCAACACCATGATAGCAACACAAATGGAGATGCAACTTTCAACTTTCATTTCACATTGAGGCCAAATGTCAGTCTCGGGCAGAACCTACAGAAATGAAAAAGAAAGCAAGCAATGAGTCACATGTAGACACAAAGTTGTGAGATGACTTATCTTTATGCATTTATTATTTATTTATTGTAGAGACAAAGTGTAAGGTGACTGTTATCTTTATGTATTTATTATTCATTTATTTAGGTTTTTCTAGACAGGGTTTCTTTGTGTAACCCTGGCTGTCTTGGGAATCTACTCTCTAGATCACCTGGCCTCTGCCTCCCAAGTGCTGGGATTACAGGTGTGAGCCACCACAACCCAGTGAGGATGATTTTTAAAAGGAAGGTACTCCTCCTTTTAAGATGTACCAGCTAACTTGGAACAATGTTTTCTCTGTGGAGTATTTGGCATTTTAAACTGAGAGACACTGTAAATTTAAAAGCTTGTTATCATCTGGAATGAGAACAAGGATGATCTCTACCCATGCCCAATGACACTAATGATCATTTCCTATCTCAAGAGACTGGAATGGTAAAATGTTTACAGAAAAACACTAGTTTGCATTTAAATACAATGGAAACAACAGTTAAATAGTGTCATCAAAATGTTGGTTAAAAAACAATCTTTAAGGCCGGGTGTTGGTGTTGCAAGCCTTTAATCCCAGCACTCAGGAGGCAGAGGCAGGCGGATCTCTGTGAGTTTGAGGCCAGCCTGGTCTCCAGAGGGAGTGCCAGGATAGGCTCCAAAGCTACACAGAGAAACCCTGTCTCAAAAATAAATAAATAAATCTTTAAATTTAAATTCACAGGTCATTATCATGTATTTAGCAAGCATGACTAAAATCTGAGGATGGTGATCAGGGATTCATACAACTGGAGGCAAAGCAGACCTTACCAACACAGGCTACACTGTCAGACCTGCTGTGGCCTTTCCTCATTGGACTTCCACTTCAGTGACATCCTTTTTTTAATACCATTCCCCTATACAAAGTTTCAATATGTCCAATAATATGTTTATTTGTTAATCTTTTAGGTTTGAGTTTTTGTTGTTTTTCAAAACAGGGTTTCTCTGTGTAGCTTTGGCTATGCTGGAACTTGTTCTGTAGACCAGGCTGGCCTCAAACTCACAGAGATCCACTTGCCTCTGCCTCCTGAGTACTAGGATTAAAGGCATGCACCACCACCACCCAGTGGGTTTGTTTTTTTTAATGCAGGGTCTAGCTATGTATCTTGCTAGGAAATGAAAACAGGGGAAGCAACCCTGATCAGCCTAGTATGTTCGTGAACTTCAGCCACCAAGCATGACTCAGAGCAGCATCTTTGGTGAAAGGTAGACATTCCTTAAAATGATGTATGCCTGAGTTTCCCAAGTGTCAATAAAATTTACACAAATATACAGAAAACAATTATAAATTCATTGTATAACTAAGACATTAGATTAATATGTGTTACTAAGTATTTTGTTACTTTCAAATGTCCTCACTAATACACTGTCTTTATCAAGATTTTACCTACACTTTTCATCAGCTGATATTTTTCAGCTGTCTCTCAAAATTAAAACATTTTCCATAAATCATTTACTAAATTGGTTCCCAGGCTAGATAACAGACAGATCATCAGTAAACACGTCCAGTCCTAACCCATTTGAAGCAAGTTGACAAGTTACTTAGTGAAAACCAGACAAGGCTGAAGGAACTTGAAATATTTGAGGGAGAGTTAGAGAATCCAGGTAGCTTGAACTCACAGGGAGTTAGAGAAAGGTCTGCACAAAGAAATATCAGAAACTTGCAATGCGCTGTCCTGGAGTATTTAGCAGAGTATCCATGGGTGTGCATAAGTAAGGAACTAACCTAGGCCAGCACTGGGAGCACAAAGATTCTTGTGCTCAAGAAAAGCATTACAGAAACCAGGAATGTTAAATACACAGGTTGTCTTTACAAAGGAAAAAATGTATAACCTGTTTGCTGCCCAGAAGATGGGAATGGAGGTGGCTAATAGACTAGGTTAGTGGTTCTCAACTTTCTGAAAGCTGTAACCCCCATATTGTAGCAAGCCCCAACCAAAGAATTATTGAGCTACTACTTCATAACTATAATTTTGCTACCATTATGAATAGTAATAACTGATAATATGACCCCTGGGACAAAGGGTCCTTACACACACACACACACACACACACACACACACACACACACGTCCATCTCAGTAACTCTTATGCTATCTGTAGGCCCATGACATACCTGAATTCCTCAAGCTCCCACAACCAGGACCAGAGGTGGCTAATGGTCTAAATGACCTCTACGCTATCTATATGACTGAGACCACGTCAGATCCTCCCCCGAGCCCTTAAGATAACACATACAGCCTATCTCTAGAACCTATCTTCATGGAAGAATTGATAGTACTTTGAGAAGAGTTTTGAAGTAATTATGCTTCCTTGTGTATATGGGATTATGTTACACCAGAAATACACTGCAATAAATTGTCCGGTGTCAGACTCTAGATGTTTGAACGAACACTGGTTAATGAGTTGTGCTGAATGGTATTTCCTTCTTGCCTCACACAGATAAGTTACTCTGTCAGCTCTGGTGGTCACAGAGGCCCCACAGCACAGGATGAATCCCTGTGAAGGATGACTCAGTACCTGATCCTCAACAGCAGCAAGCTGTACCTCCAGCCAGGCCAGGAAACACACAACTCAGCAAGTCTGGTCTTTGTATTTGAGAATAATTAGCCATTGTCTAAATACTGGCCTGGTCCTGCCTAAAAAATCTTTTGCAGCTTCTTTTTGGGTGGGTGGTGGGGATGTCTTGAAACAGGATCCCATGTAGATCAGGACAGCCTGGCCTTGAACTGATTCTCCAGCCTCCACCTCCTAACCTGGCTCCAGCAACCATGACTGTCCCAGAACAAATCTTACAAGACCCCAAAGAACCAAACTATTTTCAGTTAACTTTACTATGGTTTCAGAACAAAGCCCAAGGATATTTATAGGAATTCAAAAACACTAGAACCTAAGAAAATAAATTTACAACGTCTGACAACTATTCAAAATAGGAGAAGAAAATGAGAGGAAAAATAAATTCACTTAAATAGACCAAAAACTTACATGTATCTGAATAATTAATTTCAAAATTAATAGGAAATAAACAAGCAAGACATTCAAGCAACACCAAGTGCATGAAACATGAGGAAAATGGCTCATCACAATAAAGTAACTCAAACCTGTAACAAACAGAAAAATCCCAAAGCAGCTAGAGTAAAATAGAAACATTAATTGTCCAAAGGTAGGGCTAGCATCCTGTTCTGGTTGGAAACAGTGTAAGTGATCAGGTAATGGGTCAACACCAAAGCACCCTATCAACCTAGTACTCCATACTTACAAAGCTATCTTTCAAAGCCAAAATGAAATGACTTTTTCAGACATATGAAAACTAAAAGAACTTATTCCCGTCAAACCTGCCCTACAGGAAATATGAAAAGTCCTTTAAGCAGAAGTAAAATTATTTCAGCACAAAATGTGGATCCACTTAAAGAGACAAAGACAGTCACAAATGCCAGCTACATCTGCTTCATTAAATATCTTTAGGGGCCATCGAGATGGCTAAGCAGGTAAAGGCACTTGCTATCCAAGCCAGGAGACCTAAATTTCATTCCTGAAATTCACATGGTAAATGAAGAGAATTGACTCCTGCAAGTTGTCTCTGACCTCCACACGCATACTGTGGAACACATGCATATATGTTCGTACACACACACAAATAAACATGCAATAAAATTTTTATCTTGCTGGGCATGGTGGCACATAGTGCACACCTTTAATCCCAGCACTTGGGAGGTAGAGGCAGGTGGATCTCTGTGAGTTCACGACCAGCCTGGTTTACAAAGAAAGTTCCAGGACAGCTAGGGCTGTTACACAGAGAAACCCTGGCTTGAAAAGTCCTCCTGCTTGCATAGCAAACACTTTATGAACTGAGCCACCTCCCCAGCCCACAGTATCTTTATGGCATGATAATACAGACAACGTCTGAATTGTTCCTAGACTTTCTTGTGTTCACTGTAGCCATTCACAGAGTGGCAAAGAGACAGTTATGAGAACCTGGCTGGCTACTGTGGAGCCAAGTACACTTGCTTTGGGAGAGGCCTACTAGCACCAGACTCTATCTGCTCCTTTACTTTACAAGGTATACATACTTTCTTATAAGTTTTTAAAAAAGAGTTTATTAAAACAGAACACACAATTTAAGAAGCTGAAAACTTAGCATCTCATTGTGTCACATGTTAAAGACAGCATTCAAATGCTTTGCCTCCTTCCCAGCAGCACTATCATACACCACACAGCTCCAGGTTAAAATCAGTTTCTGAGTATGGTAGCACATGAGAATTGTAGTGTCTTGGAGGCTGGGCAGGAAAACCTAGAGTTTAAGGCCAGCCTGGGTTGAGAAAGTCAAAAAACAACAAAAAAGTTAGTCTTCTGTCACACTAGCCACACTTCAAGTCCCCAAATACTACATACATCTGATGAATACTGTGATAATATGGGACATTCACACCGCCCAGAAGTTCTACTGCACACTGGCCTTGACTCATTCCTACAAATGCTGAGCTAAAGACTCACTACCTTTCAACAGTTTACACGCCCCTTCTCCCATGAAGATCAGGTAGAAATCATGCTTCACAGGACTAAATTCCAACAGGTCAAATTACACTGCAGCTCAGTGAACTTGTGGATGGTTCAATGACAAGGTCAGACTGTACAGGAAAGCAAGAACAAATGAAGCTCATTGACAACATAGAAGTCAGATGACCAGAGTAACCAGAAAAAAAGTTCAGTTAAAATAGGTTCACAGTGCTGCAGAGGCACAACCCCCTAAATTTTAATGTCTTAACTCAAAAGGGCTGCAACTCCCTCATGCTACATGTTCATCTAGCTTTGGCAGGGATGCTCAAGGCCACTGTCACCAGGTATGATCCACGTAGGACACAGTTAACAAAATAGTCACCATCTAGAACCCAACTAATCCAGGGACCGAAGAAATCAAGTTCTGTGCCAAG